ACGTTGCTTATCACACTTATGGCAGAAAGTGTGTTGCGAATAATTTCCGAAATTCCGAATAAAACATTTAGTTTAATGTGCATTTCGCAGTCCTCACGACGAATTTTTGTTTGACGTTCATTTTATTTTGAGTATTTTTTTATGTTCTACATTTGTTATGTTCAGACTGTGGACAGTCCTTTTGCAGTCACAGCACTAAATGTCGTTTCAATAATGCTCCCCATTACACTCAAACTGAGTGTACAGTTTTGCCAATCATAATATTTCCACCATAATTTTTAACGATCAGAGATAAGTCACACTCTTCAAAAACAAAACACAATACACATGATCTGCTGTAGCAACCAATGTGCTACATAGCTTGAGGTCGTTGAATGCAATCGGGTTTTCATTGTTAAACCTGACAACACGACTTGTTTTCCGGGCAAAGGAAAACACTGAAAACAGAACTCAAACCTAAACTTAGTGTTTTCCAAAGGTCGCCCAAGCACAGAGCATGGAACAAGCCCCAACTGGCAATTTGATCTCTCATTTGGAAGGGTGGGCTGTAGCGAGTTAAATGTTTACGTGGGCGTGTTGAGTGTTGATCGTGTTTACATTCACTTTCATTACAGAAGGATAATATTTACTACCACATTGAAAAATTCACTCATAAATAAACCGTAAACGGAATAAGGCATGGTACGATTTCACACGCTTGGCGGGTTGGCGTTTGATCCAATAATTATCTATTTTCACACACACACACACGTGCAATTTATAATGCCTTGTATTGTAAGAATCATAATGTACAATATTGCAATCAATCTAACTTGACATACCTGAAAATCTGAATAATTTATAAATGTAACCATAAAAATACAAATATTTTAAGGCCATGCGGCTATGTTGGAATGCTGAGCCAGCACAATTAAGAACCTCGGAACCTCGGTTTGAATCTTCATAAAACCAGCTACATTCCACGGATTATGGTAAATGACTGACACTTGTCGACAGATTTGGATAGAGCGCGAAGGAATGTTCCCTGGTGTTGCGTATGCAAATCTTGATTACGGTGGCAAGGAACGCTTGAGAGTGTTGTGTAAGAGATGCCTTTTGAAGTTACTGGAAGTAGATTTGCCGTATCATCTTCCCCAGAGCCGCTCCTTGACACGCAGCGAAGCACTGCCAACTGAATGAGTTCCAGAAAACCGATGATTTGCTTTTGGAAATAGATCAACCGTGTTTTGGATGACAGATGTCTGAATGTGTCCACCTTTGATGGACAATTGTAAAGTTGATGCAACCTGATAAAACAACATTCTATTGTACTCACCTGCAAGGCAGCACTGTATTCCTGCAGCTTCAGTGAGCAGCAGACAGAAGCCTGTAACTCTCTTTGCAGCTCACAATGAATATTTAATGTGAGCCCCTAGTGCATTGCCACCCCCAAGCAAGGTAAAACTCCACCGAGTTAACAAGGAAGAATTTGGCATTCGGTTTTACCTGCTTGTATCTCAGCATTTAAGGCCACATTTCGTCAGTGTCCATAGAGTGCTGACCTTAGCATGTGTCCATCTGAGACAGGCACATAACTATGTATTGTGCAAACATACGAGTTAAATATTTCACCTTTGATAGATTTTTTTTTGGGTTAGATTGGGTAGAATAAAAAAAACCTCTCATGGATAATATTGGTCGTGAAAGCCTTACGTGTTATTTCACCTTTCATTGCGTCATTCAATTGCAACTGTATCATTTTTAAAAAATGGGCGCGAGACGTTTGTAAGCGTGATGGTATTGTGGTCACATGGTTGCACATGAGTAGGTGTGCCGTCGTGGTTTGGGTGTCATTTAGCCCTCAAACTATCGACACACATTTTACACTATTAAAAAAAACTGGCCAGCTTGATAAAAGTGCGTGCTAAAACTTACAGACAATAAAAACAGCATTAAAAGGGACTAGGCTTGGCATCCTGACTCTTGTCAGTCGAGGCTCGTCGTCCCAAGCAGAGGCTGCTATCCAAGCCCCGCTCTTCTCTAACGGGCACTTGCAGCTTCCTGCACGGCTATTACGCGCCCCCTACCTTTATTATCGCGGCGTGAATACTTCCGATGACAAAAGCACGTTCAAAAGCATTACATAATCTGCGAATATACATAATTCATCTTACTTGATTACTGTTGTTATATCGTGTTCGGACTATCACACGTATTATATCCTGAGTCATAACGTGAAATGAAGAAGTGTGCTGATGTAACTCCTTCATGGAGCAGAGTCTGACTGGCAGAATGGCTCCGGAAGATGACACCACAGAACGATTCCTGGAGTCACTTCGATAGGCCTCTAGTTTCTCAACGCGAGAGAGCAGTCCTTCGTGTTTTGGAAACAATGCTTTGCTGTGTGTCAGTCAACGACTAATCACATGATCTGTATTTACCAAAGCTGGCATTAATTAATGTCAGTGACTTGACAAATATAAATCATTATGAGTGCTTCTGCATTGGTGACCAGGCAGGATGTCAGTGGTGCTGACTCACCGCTCCAACTTGGCCATTATGAGTTTCCTGAGCCTTTTAATCTCTCTATGAAGCAACTCTTTCCCCCCCTCCTCTTTCCTCAGAATACAACATTTGGATGAGGTGCGGTTGTAATGCAGGTTAGAGTACACAAATATAGACTGACGTAGCAGGACAAATCGTGTTTAAAAGTCCCGTTCACAGTGACGGACTGTTGATGCTGTAAGAAATGTCCCTGGATTGGTTGATTTTTCAGGAGAACTGACATTTCAATAGTTTACACCCAGTGTTTATCACAACCATTGTGTTGTTTGTATATAAGCACATACAGCTGAGGATTTGAGGCTCTCATAAAGGGGCAGTGGACATGATGGGGTGTGAGTGTTAGGGAATGTGTGTGTGTGAGGTCGACTCAGCCTCAAATGAGTGCCTGTTGCGGTGTGTGGTAAACATCACCACTGGGGAGTCAAAGGCAGCCGGGCATGGTGCTGGCCACTCACCACCTCGTGTTCCGTGCCAGCCATCATAGGTGCTCGCTAACAGCACTTTCCCTAACAGGCTGTTAAGGCTATACGGGGGATCTGTATCTTGTGTGTGTGAGTGAGTGTTGTGAATGCTGTATAAATGTTTTCCATGCTTTGGGAACTGTCAACTAGCTCATTACCTCCTAAGTAGGTATTATTTGTAGGAGAACGCAACTGCCCAAAGAAGGCTTTTTAAATGCCATGTGTGTGCCACAGGATGGGCTTTAAAAATTCCCCGTCAGTGTTGGAAAGAATACACGTGCAACATATATACACAAAGACAAATATTCCATGTATAGCCTTTAACAGAATGTTGGGGCAAGTGCTATTAGCGAACACCTATAAAGGCCGGCAAAGCACACGAGGGGTGGGTGGTCAACACCACGCCCAGCCATATATATACACAAAGATAAAGATCCCCCGTATAGCCTGAACAGACTGTAGGGGCAAGTGCTGTTAGCGAGCACCTATGAAGGCCGGAACGGTACACGAGGGGGTGGGTGGCCAGCACCACGCCCGACCGCCTTTGTCTCCCTAGTGGCGATGTTTACACACCGCACCAGGTACTCATTTAAGGCTGAGTCGACCTAGGGGAGGCCCAGGACCGGTTCAGATAATCGTCACTGGTGTTAGCCGTGAGCGGGAATCGAACCCGGGTCGCCAGGTTCATAGCGCAGCGCGCTAACCGCTACACTACCGCTCCCACACACACACAGACACACAGACACATTTATAACGTTATATAGCTTGGGAATTTTTGTTATTATTTCACCAAATTTGGCAAACATTGTATCAATAACACATGAGAGCCAGATGTGCTTTTTCACAGATTACCATGGGAGGAACTGATATTTTATTAATCTGATTAAATTAATTATCCCGTCCGCAGTAATAATGGGATGAAACGATTGCGCAAGTCCTCTTGTCCGCATCGAAAATGAGATGAGCAGCCAATTTTTTTACGTAGTCTCCGCACATTTGTGCATTCAGAAAAGTGGTCTATATGGGTGTATTCAGAAACAAATTACATGCGACTTAATTTATGTCAGTAATGTTTTTTTTTGTAATCGTATGTGTGCCGATATGTAGCCATAAGCCTGAGACATTTCCAAAGTTTCCACTTCAGTCATCCTAATAGCAATAACAGGTTCATTTAAGTAATAACAGGTGTATTTTGATTGTCACGCAGAAGATTTTCAAGATATTGATGTCTCAGGCAACGAACCTTCAAAAACGATGTACAAATGTTTTCAGTCGGTGTCTCCTTGTGCAAATGATCACAGAGCCCTGCTCATGTCAATTGGCAGACTTGAGGCATTGGTGGAAATTTCCAAATTATCTTGGCAGAGACCAGTCTGTCCCTAGAACAATCACATTTAATGTCCCACAAAGTGGTACCAATTTTTTTTGACCCAAGAAGGGATGATGGGCTTAGTCGACAATGACCGGGATTTTAATTTTTCCAACTTTCCACTCGTGAGTCAAATGCTCTGCCCAAAATGGCTCGAAGCGAGATATAAAAAAGAGGCAAATCACATTTTCATTTATCTAGATAGAGGTCTTACTTTTTAAACAAATTGCAGCACAACATTTGCCTTGAATTACAGGGTGTTGCACTTCAGTGAACATTTGTATGTGTGTCATCCGTGGGATCGTGGCAAGTGATGATGTAAAAAGTGCCGCGTTGGAAGCTGCCCCCTTTGAACGATTGGACCAAACCATTGCCCGTTCCTTGGGGAGAATCACAAACATACAATAGCGATAGTTTAGCTTTGCTACTACATAAACATTACAAGAGAAAAAAAACTTTCGTACGTAAGTGTAAATTTGAGCTTTGGACATTTTTCGGGAACTAAAAAAGCTTTGGTTGCTGTTTAAGAGTGGTTGGAGCTATCTGATCTGTCACCTAGTTTTTACTTTGGTTCATTCCGCTTGTCAATGGGCTTGTGTCCGGACGTATATATATCCTGGTGTGTCTGAGTGCTTAGATAGCGTTATACAGGTCTAACAGGTCTCATAGAACTGGACGATTCTGACTCTTGACGTTTAAAGCTGCCTGCCGCTCTCCAAGGATATTATGGCCAGTGCATAACTCTCATGCAGCCTTGTAACTACTTACCCTGCACAGCAACAGCATGTCGCAGGACATCACAATTTTCCGCGGCGACTTATGAACTCAAACGGTCAAAAGCTCCGTCCTTCCGACTCCTCCACTCACGTCGTCCGTTGAACAATGGGATGGAACGTCGTCGTTGCAATCGGGCCCTCATCACAATCCCCGGTGGTAGAACGGAGGCGCCAATGAAGGAGTTCCCCGCGCATCGTCAAGCGAGTGCCATGGGGGGCGTTAACCCTCCGCTCGTGCGCCGCTGCTGGGCCGACTGCGCGGCGTGCGCCTGCGACCGCGGGAGAAACCACGCTCTCCGCGGAGACGACCGGTGGACGCCGGGCGAGCCGCATCGAGTGCCGAGCGCGGATTTGCAAGAGCGCGTGGCGCCGGGGAACAGGGTGCTGCCCGGAATGCCGTACCTCGCGCTGTGCGCTGTGTGCATCTTGCTCTGCGTCCCATACCCTTCGCTCAAGTCACGAGTCTCGCCGTCGAGGTACCACGGGCCTGGGCGCGCGAGCCGCACGCGGCGTTAATACTTTATGCCCATCGCAGTTGTAATGATTGCGATTGAAATGAGCTCGTGGCATTACTGTTTGTTGTGTGTGCAGTCCAAATCATTTATGATTTTCATATTTATATGTAGGAGATACAATTTGTAAATGTAAAGGAAGGGGAGTTATTTTATTTAATATTTTGTAGAAACACTTATTCCATTATTATTGCAAGAATATAAATCCTACTTAACCATAATGGCCAGTGTGGGTTGGTAAACCCCTATGATCGATATGACGTTGGAAAGCCTTCATCCGGCACTGGATTGCCAATGGGCTGTAATTATCTGAATTATTAGTTTATCACGACTACACGTACTTTAGGCTGGATGGTGCCTAGTGAGGCTAAATCACTCAATTCATAACGGGAAGGTCTCACAAAGCTTACATTTTGGTAAGTGGACAACTTTGCTAAATCATCTCTGTGGTCAAAAAATGCGTCCCGACTTTTACGGAAAGTCAGTAGTTGGTGTTCCGTACTGTGACTGGCCCCTGTCTTAGTAACGTGGAACTTATAGCACTGCCTCGGCGCTGTCAATAATAACAATAATAATGAGAACCACCCCAACCAAGCTTGTTTAAATAGGGAGGCATATGTTAAAAAAAAATAAACCTGCGTTCAATTTCACCTTGACATCCCAGGTTACAAAGCAGCAGGGCTCTAATCTGAAGGTTTGTCAGATCTCTAACCCTGTGTGAGAGTCAACTCGACTACATCGTTTATCTTTGTTAAGGTTTTCATTGTTCACGCACGCTCATCAATCATCGATGTGACAGTGGGAGGTCACGGATTTTGTTTCATATTTCGCAACTAAACTTACCACTTATTTAAGAAATCAGGTCGGCGAATGCAAAGATCTTTGTTTTATCTTTGCGACAGCAAAAAAGAAACCACTTATTACTTTCATTAACATGTTATTTGTCCTAAGTTCACCGGAGCATCAATGTTATGGCCTTATTCAATATACGGGCGTGATTGTTAACACAAAGATATGTGATTTGATATGGATTATAGATCACGCAAATTTTACTTCAATTGAATACACTGGCAAATTCCACGTGGAAATGGGGACACTATATTTTCTGTGTATTAACTTACATTGCAATGTTTCATTCTAGTTTTGTGAACATCCTTATCGCTGGCAGAAAGGTCACAAATGAAACCCTGAGCCCTCCTATACTTTAAATGCTTTAAGGCAGCATTTTTGTAATTCTTAAGCATTTACGACACCGCTTTTGTGGGTGTGTGTGAGTGTACGTGGGGAGCGGTGGCATATTGGTTAGCGCATTGTGCTTTGAACCTTGCGACCCGCGTTTGGGTGCCGCTCCCGGCCAATCCCCTAGGTCGACTCAGCCTTAGATGAGTACTGAGTGCGGTGTGTCATTATCAGCATTGCGGAGTCAAAGGCAGCAGGCCGGGTGTGTTGCTGGCCACTCACCTCCTCGTGTGCCGTGCCAGCCTTTAATAAGCGCTCGCAAAACAGGAACTTGCTGCAACTTTCTGCTAACACCTACATGGGGGTGGGGGGGGGGGAGCTTTATAAGGGTGTGTGCGTATCCAGGTGTCTATCCAACAACGCCGCCGTGTTGTATGTAGTTCGTCGCCACCGTTGTGAAATGCGCGAAAAGAAATGCGTGGAATAGACGGACGCTGCAGGAGGTGTGGCCCACGTGAGCTACTCAAATGTGCCACGTGCGCGCTGTGCGTAACGCGAGCGGGGCCCGCCACAGCCACCTTTGAACTTGGCAGCTGTGCACAAAGGGCGACGATGCCCCCACCCCACCCACCTCCCACCCTTCGTTATCCCGTCTTCTGTAATGCACTCCTTGGACGTGGCACACTGCGACTAAGCGTATCAACGAAAATGTTTGGTGAAGGTTATTGCGGTACGTGAAATGCCGGTATCGCAAATTTACTATGCCGCAACATACTTTAATCTGGAATTGTGATATGAAACAGCTGTTTTTTCTTATTGTAAACTTGTGTTTCCTTTGTCCTGCTTGCCGGTGCAAGTTTACATAAACTTTGCGCCACCCTGCTTGGTTATATAGTGTGACACGCAATACAATTTGGTTTCGACGTGTAAACAGCTTGATATGACCTATCGTCATATACCACACGCATCATGCCACCCAGCTAGCGTGGGTGCGACCGTGTATCATCTCCCATTGATAGGAACTTTATAAGGGTACCGCGTGTCACGTTTCCACATTGTTTTTGCATTGTGCATAATGCAGGCAGACCACGTTATAGTGTTCCCAGGCGATAACGGCTGTTTTAACAAAATCGTACATATCTAGCTATGCGGCGTTTGCGGTTACAACGCACCACGACTCGCTCTTGGAAGGTTGCGAGTTCACATCCTGTTACTTAGGCTTTGTCGGACCCATCAGCTGTCTGGGATCGATATGTGGAGAAGCGCTTTTTTTTTGGAAAGCCCAACATAGGGCATGTTGTAGTGAGACTTTGGTCCTCGCCATGGTGAATGTGGAAATTAAGCAGCTAACTCAGAGGAGCCAATGTGGATAACACTGATTTGAGTGGAGGGTGGGGGGACACACACGCGCTTTTTAACCAATAGTCCATCGTGTAGAATTTATGATAAATTGCGTCACTTTAAACTATATATTTTGATGCGAGCAATACGTTATTCAAGGAAGTTCTGCATCTCAAGAAAATGTCCGCTTACAGACGAAATGTGTATAACCAACAAGCCGTTTCAAACAACTGTTTGAATCGAAAATCCGTGAGTGCAATAATGTCTGGCATCTGCAGGCAGCACAGTACCATTAAGAATTTGGGTTTGTGAAACTTGGGGATTTTGGTGTTGGGCCTTTTTTCAACGGTTTTATTTAACTTGATTCCTGTTAAATTTTGATTTAAAGCTTTCGTGACTGCAGGGATTCATATTCTTGGTTCTTTTGGTAAGTCACGTAGAAGGGGAAATAATAAAAAAGGAAAAAAAGAGAAAGATATATTTTTTTTCCCTTCTACGTGACTTTACCGAAAGAACCAATAATTTGACTCCTGTTTGTCATGGTCAAATCTTGTAATCAAAATTTAGTCTACTTTCTGTTGTCCAATCAATTCAAAATTTTGCACACGTACTCGGATCCGGTGACAATGCATGCCTGTATCAAAATCGGCATCAAGTAATCAATTAATTGGTTCTTTTAAAGCAATTAAATTTTGTATGGACGGCTTATTCATTAAATATTTATTTGGGGAAGTCAAAAACGTCGCGGTCCCTAAACTCTGGAATCGCCTTCGCCCAAGAAGCAGGCGCCACGTGTCTCTTGTCATTAAGATGTCGACCACTTCCCCTTGTCCAATCGAGTTATTTACTTTTTAGTGTTTCTACTGAAACAAACAGTAAGGAGGGGGAGGGACATATTTGGATGTGTCTACAGTATACTGTACAAGTGTAGAGGAGCTCTTAATGCTTGACGTTTTCACAGTACGTCACAGGGTCTTTTTTTGTTCATTTTGCAACAGATGGCACACTTTGGTAATTCCATGCAGAAATAATTGGGAAGGGGGTGGGGGTGTGCGAGCTCAATGGAGAATCTGCTGATCCTGATAACATTTTCGGACCTTATGAGTCCACAGAATGTGGCGTGTCGCTGCTGACCTAGATACCCCAAGCCGAACAGTAGTATTATAACATGCTGCATTTGCATGTTATTTACGAGGGTGCAGTCATTTGAAACCTGCTGTAAATGTTAAAGGTCTGGGTGTCTGTCAGGAGCCTGCCCTGCCGTAATTTTACTGTTTGACCTCTCATTGTTAGTGCGCCACGTAACAACAATAATAATCCTGATTAAATTTTAAAGTATCTTTCATGGACGATCTCAAAGCACTGCACGAGACCTGGGATCTCAGAGGAGATCTGCATCCCCCGGATCATAGAGGCCTTGAAGGGGCGATTGGTTTGGGTGCAGCGTGTCTCTGGTGTGGGCCGGGGCAAGGTGATATTCGGAGCTGGCGAGGAATAAAACAAAAAAGGCCGACCCCTGTGGAAAGATGACGCATGTTGTATCATCACCTGCCAGACGAGCACTGTTTGGGCCCTGTATCCAGTGCTGTGGCAATATGCTTGAAGATTTTTTTTTACTCAGTGTGTCCTTAAAATATGTTTATAATTCAGGAGTGGGGTAGCCACGGTATATATTAGTTTCTTTACAAAATCTCATTAATTCCACAATGACCGAATTGAGTGCATTTACAGAATGTACTGTTATTTATAAAAACCGTATATATAATACAAGTGGGATCTTTAAACATAGGATGTGTTTTAATGTAGTGTAACTGCATCACCACCATTTAAAGGGTACGTGTTTGAATCCTGGTTTTGTGGATAAGAGCCTTTCATTCGTCCAGGGTCAATAAAATGCATGCCACGGTACATTTGTCAAAGCAGGTAATTCGATGATTCCGTCCCGAGTTCCAATGAACTCTTCAAAAACACAGGCTTCGCCAAAGCTGAAAGGTTTGTGGCGGGAGGTCGAGGGAGAGGGAATTGAGAGGGTATGACAGGCGACGTGATCCGATTAACGCAGAGGGGGCGGCCATGCGTCGCTACACAGCGTCGCTATTTTCGGGAGCAATCGGGCTTGCAAAAAAAACGCTCCAGAAGGGGGGCGGAGGGGGGGACGCTTTGCCCGCCGGCCTCCAAAACTTCCGCTTGGCTGCAGCCAGCAAATTAGCATGACATGGCAACGGATGCGGCGTCTCGGCGGCTGTGCACATGCACTCGAGTGAAGATGACAGAGCAAACAAGCACCCACAACTAATAAATTGGTCCCATAGATTCTCACTCATACAATGCTGGCATGGCTCTCAAGTCTATTAATAGCCTTGAACCACTGGCATAAATTCCACATTCCTGTGTCACTATATAGGACAATCACTGTCGACTGCCAACAAAAGAAGAGATAAAACACCAAAATTGCTGTTATCATGTAGATAGGCACCTATTTTGTATATCCTCGGTTGTCCAACGGGAGCCTGTTTGTTAATGGGGGGGGGGGGGGGGAGGCTTTTTAAATGTATACTCAGGCCTCCTGTTTTAGCACCGATGTTACTGCAGTGGCGTGTTATCTATATATATAAAATCGTTCATGTCTGTCTGTCTGTGTGTGTGTGTGTGGACTTTGGCCCATACGCACTTTCATTGGACGGCGGTTGCCCCTGGCAACGGCTAGCCACGCCTTCGCCGCTTTCATTGGACCTGGCAACGGCTAGCCACGCCTTCGCCAAGGGCTGCAGTTTCATTGGACGGCGGTTGCCCCTGCCAACGGCTAGCCACGCCTTCGCCACTTTCATAAGCTCCGTATTTAATTAAATAATAGCCATTACACAGTATTGTTGGAGCGCTAGGGGGGGGGGAAGGAACGCCACCCGTACCCTGCCTCTTCCAAGCCGACAATTTTAGGCGAGGCCGCAGGCTTTGCACGCTACTAGGCCTCGACACCCACCACGCCACTCTGAGGTAAATTCATCAAAGTTTTTCCTACTCTTCACTACACCCCCACCACAATGTGTGCTATTAATATTACTTTTAAACCCAACGCGCCAACAATCGATTACTTTAATGTTCACTGTACAAATACTCATTAAGCTGGGTGAGCGTACTGCCAGTCTATCATGTACACTGTAGCCTGCTTATTAAGCTCGGTGAGCGTACTGCCACTCTATCATGTACACTCTAGCCTGCTTATGAAGCTGAGTGCGTGTACTGGCAGTCTATAATGTGGACTCTTGCCTGGTTATTATAATCGATTCTTTATATGTTCTTTGTAAAAACAGTCATTAAGCTGCTTGAGCGACCCCAGTTCGATTCCAACTCACGCCCACCACTGCTGACGATTATTTGAAACGGACCTGGCCCTCCCCTAGGTCCACTCAGCCTCAAAAGCGTAACTGCTGTCGTGTGTGAACATCGTCACTGGGGAGACAAAGGCGGCGGGGCATCGTGGATCCAAGTCCCGGGCGAAGCCGGGTCATGTGTATGTGTGTTTGTGTTTATGTGTATGTCTGTGTGTCTCTATGTATGTGTGTATGTATGTGTATGTATGTGTTTGTGTGTATGTGTGTGTGTATGTATGTGGGTTTTTTTTATGTCTTTATGTGTATGTCTGCGTGTCTCTATGTATGTGTGTATGTACGTGTGTGCATGTGTTTGTGTGTATGTATGTGTGTGTCTATGTATGTGTGTGTCTATGTATGTGTGTGTATGTGTGTGTATGTATGTGTGTGTGTATGTATGTGGGTTTTTTTGTATGTGTTTATGTGTATGTCTGCGTGCCTGTATGTATGTGTGTATGTACGTCTGTGGATGTGTTCGTGTGTATGTATGTGTGTGTCTATGTATGTGTGTGTATGTGTTTCTGTGTTTGTATGTGTGTGTATGTATGTGTGTTATGTGTCTGTCTGTGTGTCTGCATGTATGTGTGTGTGTATTGTGTATGTGTTTGTGTGTGTTTGTGTGTTTACGCTCGCATTACACAAATGTATAATGCGGGTCTAAGGCGTTCCTTACACAGCATTGCCGCTTTATTATTTCAGTCGTTTACTGCCGTATGCACCCTGAAAGTCGTGTGTGTCTGCAGCAAGCGCGTGTATGTGTACCTATGGACGCGCGCGCGTGTGTTGTGTAGGGGGAACGGTAGTGTAGTGCTTAGGGTGCTGCCTGTGTGTGTGTGTCTGTGTGTGTGTGTCTGTGTGTGTGTCTGTGTGTGTGTCTGTGTGTGTGCGTGTGTGGTGTGTGGGGAGCGGTAGTGTAGTGGTTAGCGTGCTGTCTGTGTGTGTGTTTCTGTCTGTGTGTGTCTGCGTGTGTCTGTGTGTGTGTCTGTGTGTGTGTCTGTGCGTGTGTGGTGTGTGAGGAGCGGTGGGTGTAGTGCTTAACGCTACGCTGCGCTACCAACCCGGCAAACCCAGTTCGATTCCCGCTCACGGCCACCACCGGTGACGATTATTTGAACCTCCCCTAGGTCGACTCTGCCTCAAACGAGTAACTTAACTACTGTAGCGTATTAACATCGCCACTGGGGAGACAAAGGCGGCCGGCCGTGGTAGATACAAGTCCCGGGCGAAGCCGGGTAGTACAGCTAGTCATATTTTAAAATTACATCACCCTGGCATGACTGACGTGCCATAATTGTGAATTTGATTGGAACTTTATACTTCTATTAGACAGTCAGGCATGTATCTTCTGGAAAAATGTAAGTGATATTTGTTGTTGCAACTCCCTTAAATGTCATATGCGGATTACATTTTGCCTTGAATCCCTGGCGGGTGAATCACATGAGCTTCAGATTGCAGTAAGTCAACAATGGTAATCTCATGGAAGACACTGGCTTCTGCGATAGGAATGTAGACGTTACACCACAGGCTCAGGTTCACCAGTGGAAGTGAATGCCATGACCTTGCTTGTTTGAGTTGGGAGCTGCATTCAAACGTGGGCTAGCGATGGCGGCGGTAGTGATGGCACTCGTGTTGCGTGAATTAATGCGTCGCGCATGCCCCCTCTGCTGTTGCTACTGTATGTATGTTCAACTTCTTTCGCACCGTGCCTAGCCAACCGTGCTAATCTGAGGTGTGGAGAAGGACAAACTAAACAGCAAACGTAGTTCTTAAGAAATTAATTTTCAAACTGGATGATTAGAAGTGCATAGCTCCAGTGCCTTACTAATATCAGAAGGAAGAGCATTCTAGACAGCCGCAGAAGTGCATCTGTAAGCGCGCAGATGCGGTGACCGTCTTTGTTTGATGGCCAGCCAAAACCCGCTTCTGCGAGGAAGACCGGAGTTCGCGTGATGGTTTACACTCCTTGACGAGATCCGCAAGGTATTGTGGTTCATTTGTGGCAAGCACTTTGTGTGTAATGAGCGCAAACCTGCTGCTGTCGCTGCCGCTGCTCCAGCAGGTGCTGCCCTGGACTGGATGAAGACACGGGGCCGGCGCTTGGAGGCAGCGGGCAACACTCGGGTGATGGTGACGCAGTGCCAGAGGCCGAGGAGCAGGTAATTGAGGAACGCAAAGCCGTTCTCGCGCGAAGGAAGACGTGGACATGAATACATACCTCTTCTATTGTCGATGCATACTTTAGCTGTGTGTGCCATTCTGTCCCAACAGGTTAAGATTTGCCCTCAGCAAAAAATACTTTTAAAATTAAATACAGGGGTTAGGGTTTGATAACGCTCGAGTCATGGCGCCGTGACGTCACTCTTACATATGTTGTAGTACATCAGTGCAGTCATCTCAATAGAGGGTACTGTGACGACTCGCCTTGCCCGCACATTAAAAATAAAATTCATGAATGGAGCTTGAAACTTGCCAGACAGCTGGGGGGTGCACAGCCTAGGCGTCCGTATACTATATAAGGACGACTTGTCTTTTTTAATGAAGCATTTAAAGTTATATTCTTTGGGTCTTTCGGTAAAGTCACCTATCTACGTGACTTTACCGAAAGACCCAAAGAATATGAATTCCTGCAGTCACGAAGTCAAGATCTTTAAAGTTACTTTAAGGAGCACCCCGTAATAGTGCTCCCCTCCCCCCACCATCTAGTGATATGAATGCAGTAAGACTTTAAAAGCAATTCCGTTATGACTTGCAGTGCATGATGGGAGCCGGCACTCCAGATTCGTTATGGCTGTGCTTGATCTAATGGTGGTTAGATGCGATTTGGCAGGCAGATCGCTGGTTTTCTATTCATAAGAACATATATAAACTGTTGCTCTGCCATGGATCGATGAATAACAGATAAAGCAGAACCGATCTATGAAAAATAAGAATATGCTTTACCCTTTTTGGCAATCAAACAGGAATCAAGTCGGCATTAACCACACGTACTGGTGGTGGACATACAAATAAAACATGCTCTTTGAAACTGATTGGCCTATGGAAGAAGGCTGTTTCTGGTGTAGGCCTATCAGTTTCATATTTGATACTGGCATAAAGTCCCATGTTAGCGAACCAATCTGTTCATTTTGATTTTGAGTCCTGTTACAGCGGTGAACAAGCACAAAACTGATACAATACCACCACTGTCTTTAGCATTGCACTGCCTTATAGTAGAAGAAAGGCAACCTGTCTGCATCTTCAATAGAGAATGAGGCAACACTCATCTCCAATGGTGTCCCTAAGAATGTGCAATTTTTTTACCAGCTCACTTTGTTTACCCCTGACTGGGTTTTATATTTGAAAATAAAACCTTCTATTTGTATCCTCAGCGGCACCAAGATGGATAGATGAATGACGGGAATGAATTGTAATTAATCTCTTGCTTCATGTCACCTGTTAATAGATGCATTTTGAAACCCGCGTGTTTCCTGTGCGAATTTCGAGCTCCTCGTGAATGCCATGAATTTGCAGGGCGTGGGTGGCGTGGTGCCACCCCATGGCCTTGTGCCCGGCTCGCTTGCGCTCCCCGCGATGCGGGTTTGGTTTCGGCCTGCCGAGGGGGGCCAACATTTTGAGCAATCACACGTGGCTCGCAGTTTTGCAAGTGGGGTCCTCAGTCACGCTAACTTGGCCTCGAATGTGACGCCACGGTGGCTAGGAGATGTTAACTCCCTCGCCTGGTATGCAGGAGGTCGTGGGTTCCATCCCCACCCTGACTCCCTGGAATATATTTGGAGTTTGTGTGTCTCTCTCCCTGTGGTCGTGTGGATTTTTCTCCGGGTCCTCCAGTTTTTCCCCTCCACATTTAGAAACATGTGTTTAGAGTATTTTGCTGCTATACATTTCCACATGGTAAGCTACTCCGTTGAGCTATCATTTGTGGCCAGGTCGCTTCTGAAAAATGTAGCTCGGTGGGCCTTACCTGATAAAATAAAATAGTTACATTTTTAGTTTAGTTTAACTTCCCACTGCTTTCAGACAATATTTTCTAAAGTCGAAATTCAAAGTGTCCACCGACTTAAATGGATAACCGTTCTCATGACTATGTTGGCGCTTCTAAGCCAGCAGTGGACATTGTACTTGATTGCGTATTTGATGAGCACTGTTAACTACCCCGCTAAGTGGTACTCATTTATTGACCCTGGTCTGGAGATGGGTATTTACAATTCTAATTGAGTCAAGTGCTTTGAAGGTTATAAAGAGATGAAGTGGATTCCAATAAATTAACACGTCCACCTTACTCGTCCAACTGCCCAGACTGGTAGTTACAGCACATCAAAGGCAGGTGAATGTGTGGCTGAGATGAATTACCCATTTGTGGCCTTAAGCACTTATCTTTGGCTGAAGGCCACCATATATCTTCCTGAATAAAATAACCTTCGCGGCAGTGATCTGTGTTGTGCAGTCACAGCACATCACCTCATAAGCAGCGATATTAGATGATACCGGATTTGGCACCTGGACATGAGCACAATTTCCCAGCGGTGTTTCGTGCCTACGCGCTCATTGTCCAGTAATTGAAGTGGAATTAATGTGCTCGTGCTTTTCTCATGCTATTATCATGAAAAATGTATTCCTTAGGTGCCCATGGGAGGGCCTTTGAACACAAAGCCGGACTTGCAAATGAATGCACGTTTGGATAACAAGAATGCAAATAATCCTTATACTGGTGAAGCGCAAGTGTTTATCCATGATGAGGATGAAAATCAGGTGAGAGTTGTGTGTTTAATTTAAGCTGCAGTTTCAACATCACGCTTGCATTCACTGAGTGTCAGTGTCACACTCGCATTTGCCGCATGATGCTGCCCTCGCCTATGTAACTGGCCGAATGAATTTGTTTGTAATTGAGATGACAGCGCGTACATACACACGTCATAATAAACGTTTTTGGGTTAGATCGCGTTATTTATAAATGTGTCATAAACCCTCCACCACCCGACACGGCCAATCAATAAAAAATGTGTCACGTTGACAAAAGACAAATAGTTCACTACTTTAGCCCACTGGTGTGTTGACTGTGTAAAAGCAATGCGTTGTTAAAGTACGTTCTCTGGTTATTGCTACTGGACGGTAATTCCAATGCATAAATACTACACACCTGGTGCTAATCTTAAACAGAAAAAATAACCGCATGCACATGTCCAACAACAACAACGTTACACAACACTCCCACCCGTATAAAAGACCAAGAATGTCTCATAAAAGGTGCAAGTTCATATGAACACTCAAAATATGTTTTGCAGTAAATGATGAATACCTTTCTGCACTTGCCATTTTCCTCGAAAGATTCCACGTCAAAATATAGACTTGACTTGAAAATATGCGTTACTGCATTGATAACTTGCTGACCAAAAACTGTGTGCTGCAGAGAAGAAGATACTATGGTATCCTGGAGAGCCACTTATGTCCCAAAATGTGTTATGGCCCCGTGTATAATTACTTTCATCATTTCGATTATGTTAACTTCCTCGCCTGATATACAGGAGGTCATGGGTTCGATCCCAACCCTTCACACCTGTATGTGTTTTCTCCCCGTAGTCATATGGATTATTTTTCTCTGGGTCCTCCGGTTTTTCCCTCCACATTTAGAAATATGCATTTAAGAGTATTAGGCCTCTATACATTTCCACGCGATAAGCTACTTCGATGGGTTATCATTTTTGATAGCGAGGTCGCATCTGAAAAAGAGCTATATAGCTCAGTGGGCCTTACCTGACAAAATAGCTTAATAGTTAAGTTTAATTGGCATGATTTAGAGATACCATAAAAAAACATTTTGATATTCGTCAGAGTTTATGGACACATTGAAAGCCGTAGATGTTTAACAAATAATGATGACATGCTTTCTTGTTAAAAAATAATAATAACAGATTGTTATTTTGGGTCATTGCAACGGTTTCACCATTTTTGTGTGTGCCCATCAGGAGTCGCAGAAGTCATCGTATGATGGTGCAATGCACAGTGAATCCAACGCATCAGAGACTCTGGTCTCGGGCGACAATTTGCAACACACCTCGGAAGGTGGCCAGTCCGAGCCAGTGTCTGTCCATCCTACCTCATCCCCACACCCGACAGAAGACAGGTACCCAGAAGTCCATTGTCGAATCCAACAAACAAATAAATAAGTAGAAAACTTTGCACATCCGCCAATAACTCTGTGGCCTATAAAGAGAAAGTAAATAATAGGCGACGTTTTGTGCAATGGCCCTCCTTCATAGCAACAAATTTCAATAGCCAGCGATACCTGAATCGATCCTGGGCTTCCCCGAGGTTGACTTTACTTGATGTAGTGTGCAAAAACATCAGCATTGGCAGTATAGAGGTGGCTGGGCATGATATTAGTTACATCACCTGCAGTATAATCCCGGTGAACTGGGTTCATTTCGGACCTGTCTTAGGCCTCCACCCCTTTAACCTTAAACAAGTACCTCATACGATGTGTGAATATCAGCAGGTGGTGGGGGGGTTGGGGTGGGGCGCGGTATTGCCCGCTAATGTCACTTGCCCATACGGTCTATAAGGCTAAATGGGGGATCTTTGTGTCTTTTTTAGTGCAATAGAGAAACTTGGGATGACGAGCACCCTGGGATATGGAGACTCGCCAGCCACTCAACCGTCCACTGTCGAGTGCAATGGTGCAGGGGAGGAGGGCAGCCCGGAGGTCGTGCTCCCATCTCCACCCATCCCTCCCAAGATTTTCGACAGGTACCGTCTCTACTGTGAACACGCGGTGCCCTTGTTTGCGCGTTGTAGATGTGGACGTGACCGGGTGGTTGAGAGGGCTCTCTCTCTACGGGATGTCTGGCAAAAATATCACCAAGCTGGAGCATATAAAAAATTCTCTGGCACGTGTCCTGACGGGTACCGCAAGATCTGACCATGTGCCGCCAGTGCTCGTCGTGCTGTATTGGCTTCCAGTTGCCGAACGAATATACTTTATAAGATCGTACTCGTGACACACAAAGTGCTTGCCACAAATTAAGCATATTACCTTTCTGATCTCAAGGAGCACAAACCATCACGCAAACTCCGGTCATCCTTGCAGAGGCTTTTAGCTGACCATCGAACAAATACTATCACCGCATTGTGCGCTTTCAGATGCGCTTCTGCAGCCGTCTGGAACACTCTTCCGATATTATGAGCTATGCACTTTTAAATCTCGATTGAAAACGAATTTCTTTAGAACTGCTTTTGGTATTTAGTTTGTTGTCTTCTCCCCGCACCTCCGATTAGCACGGTTGACTACGTGCGGTGCGAAAAAAGTTAAACATACAGACAGGCATACATTTCACCCATGTAACTGGAGGGCACTGGCATAATTGTTTCTAACCTAACATTGAAATTAACAATAACATGTTGAATGATAACAGTTAAGAGACAAAGAACATGTTCTTATTAAAAATAAGAATTTAAATAACATTAAAACAATGCCGCGATACTAATGTACTTTACGAGATGCGGTCATATGTAAGATATATTATATCCTGACAAAATCTATATTCATAAGTAACGGTCAGTAATTTCAGTTGTTAAATACATATATGTTTTGCATTCAACTATGGCTTTGAAAAATGATTTCCAAATTTATTGGCGATTTTCCTAATTCGTATTTTTCACAATTCTTTTCATGATAATTTATTTATGGTGTAACTGGGAGTGTCAACATTATAACCGTGACAAATTGCAATGATTAGAAGACTTATGGTAGGATTAGAATTTATTCTGTGTGCACTGCAGTCGAATAACTTTTTAGTAAAATTAATTCGCATTTAAAGTAGAGCAACTGATGTCACAATAATGTTGTCTCATCACGAAACTTGATATGTTCTTGTATCGTGAGTAAATCATACTGTGTGCGACCCCTTAGTCATTGCACCGAGCCGGCACGCTTGAACGCCACAGATTGTATCCTGACAGCCACCTGACCTCTGTGTGATGCAGCATGACACTGGGCTCTGAGCACTCAACTTAGAGTTGGAAGGGGTTGTGAGTTCAAATTCTGGTCAACAATCGACTCGGGCAAATAAAATGACAAAACAGGAAGACCGAAACAGGAGGATTTATTTACAAATCTGGCTTAATCGCCTGATGAAGCTGGTTGTAATCACCAACAAAAGGCCGTACTCTAATTGTAAATGTTGTGCGTTTACTCTCCAACACACCGGTGTGAAGTAGTGACTAATTGGCACGTGTTGTTCACGTGACAAACCTTACTAATTGGCTGTGTTGGGTTGCGATGGGTTTAACGACACATTCATATTTACGCAACCTAACCCAAAAAACGATTGTTATGGATAATAGTGGTTGCGAAGGCTACATGTTAAACTGACAACCGCTTTGTTGGAAGTCAAGTCTGTGGCCCCTACCTGTGATTAGCCAGGTTGCCCTGTGCATAAAATCTCACCAATGACTCTAAAAACACATTGTTCTCTTGCAATAGGCACCAAATAGATGCCTATTGCAAGGCATCAAGTCTGCATTAAAGACACAAGCTTGTGGTAAAACCTGCAAAGAACATGATTTGATAATGTTTGCATTGTCCTTGGAACTGATTGGCCTACACCAGAGACCACCTCATTTATGGCCTTGTCTCACCAGTGTTAGATCACAGAACGCCAAAAGGTAAACATCACAAGGACAACGCATACATTATCAAAGCACGTTTTTTTGCATGTTTTACCACAGGTTTGTGTAGTTAATGCAGACTGGATGCCTTGCAATGGGTGTCTATTTGGTGTTTAATCATCTTAACACCTGTGTTATTGCCTATTGTTTTTTCATCATCTTGATACCGGCAAAAAGGGTCCCATAGATAGTTTCCTGTTATTGTATTCTTATCTGTCTCCCAAGAGCTCATTTGGTAGATTGACGCAGAGTGAACCACTCTTGTGCACACCTGCTTCCATCACAGTCCAGTGATTGTGTAAAAATATGTTCACACATATGTTGTCTATATATCTTTGTACCCTGGCACCTAATTAAGTAATTTAAAGTAATTACACCCACCATGGCCTCATAAAGATAATAAGTAAACACCGGTAAATGATTATTAGACAACTAAATTTGTATTAAACAAATTCGGAAGCAAATTACACTTCCTTTCAGTTCTGTGGCCGTCTGGAACGCCTTCTGCAGCCTTCTGGAATGCTCTTCCTTCCGATATTGGGAAGCCACTGGAGCTACGCAGATTTCAATAATCTATATTAAAAACGCGTTTCTTTACAACTGCTTTTTGTGTTTAGTTTGTTGTCTTCTTCCCCCGCCGCAACTCCGATTCGCCTGGTTGGCTACGTACAGTGCGAAAGAAGTTCAACATACATACCGTGAACATAAGTGCGTCTCACTACTGTATCTAGAACCACGACGCCCCCCTCTCTCTTTTTGCATCATGTGCACGTTCAGGTTGTCGACACATTATGCAAAGCAGCCCCCAGTGTCACTTCCTGTTCATTTGCAAAGAAACTTCTGGCTTGTTGAGAAATGCTATAAAAAATAATATTTCATTTTTTTTTACACAGCCTGCAAATATTGTCAATCCTATCTTAAGAATGGAGGATATAATGGTAATCTACACTTTATGTTTCGGCTTGCTGGGACTTGTTGATGCTGTATAGTGTACAGTGTGCATTTATTAAATTCAGCTACGCTTTAAAGATAAATAATGTCCAATTGCAAAATACATTGGACAGGAAATACTGAGGACGTTTAATGGGTGGAATTGAGCACAATTGACAGACAAGCAGCCCTTCTATTATTGAGAGTATGAGTTGAAATCCCAGCCAAGATATATACAAAGGCCTAACATTATTATCTCCCCTATGTAATTAAAATGAGCCTCATCTCTTTATCAGAAGTAAAAAATATAAAAGTGGTCACTGTCTGAGCAATACATAATTTTGACTACTAAGGACCAGCGTGATAAATTATCATTACTTTTTTCAACTTTTAAGGGATTACAATGTAAAGATGTTGCTTCTGAGAGTATGTATTAGCCAGTAGTGGTAGTGGCTATGTGTCATGAAGATTGTTACATATTGCAACACCTGCAAGAAATGTCCATTCTCCTGTTGTGGTGTATAGGCAAGGATCTTGACACGAGTTGACATTATTAGCACGGTTGGCTATGTACGGTGCCAAAAATAAGTTCTACATACATTTCACACAGACTCGTCTTGAAGCAACATTTGCAAGTACTGTACAGTACTATAAATAGGCAAATAACTTGACATGCAGGAAAAAGAGAACTGAACACTGCTGCATGTATTGGAAAGAAACCTTTTACCCACAGAAGAGAAATTAAACATTAATCCAGCCTTATAAATAATTGCTCTGCGTTCCTGTGGATACAGTTGAGTTAATTTAAATGATAAAGACTGCTTTTGCCATTGGACGTTTTCCACACTCAGGCTGAATAAACATTCTCTCAGACTTTGCAAAGTGGTGCCAGGCATTTTATAACAATGTCCCATTTAATGATCTTAAGTTTTTCGCATTTGTTGGCCTGAGCCTCAAAAAATTTAATGTCAGGAAATGTCCTGCCTTTACGGAAAAACTCATTTGAACGCTTATTCCTGTTTTTACCCCCAATCAATGAGCAAACTGAAAGTGTGCCAGTGGAAACACCACTGTAAAACATAACTCAGATACCAACTGTGGCTTAGACTCTTATTAGTAAGCAGCCTTTGTTTGGCGTTTCATTTTTGACTTGGCTCAGTTTCGTATTAATGGATTTAAACTAGACCCAAAGCCCTACATTTTTTACTTTGGCACAGCCTTACAATACTGGACAGCCAGTGTCAGGACAACAGCGCAGCTTTTGCATTCTCCTGCATGGGCTCACCAGGTATATATATTGTACTACTGGGATGTACCCGGCGTTGCCTGGGCGAAAAAGACACACACACATCGACCCACGCACCCAAACACATCGACTTACACACACACATCGACTCATACACACACACATCGAGTTGCACACACAAACACGGACTTACACACACACATGGACTTACACACACACTTGGACTCACACGCACACATCGACTTACACACACACATACTAATGGACTTACACACAACAACCGCCACCGCCATTCGCCACGAAGTGGCAGTGACGTCACCACGACGCTTGTGCCAGGCCATGTGCACCTTGAGGCCACATCGACCCACACACACATCGACTTACGCACACACAGACATCAACCCACACACGCAAACACATCGACTTATACACACAAAGACACATATGGACTCAAACACACACATCGACTTACACACACACATCGACTCGTACACACACACACATCGACTTAAACACACACACATATGGACTTACACAAACACATGGACTCACACACACATCGACTTACACACACACATACTAATGGACTTACACACACACATCGACTCGCACACACATACATGGACTCGCACACATAGACATTGACTCACACATCGACTTACACACGCACGTCGACTTACACACACACATACATAGACTTACACATACACACACATCGACTTACACACACACATACTAATGGACTTACACACACACATCGACTCACACACACATACATGGACTCGCACACATAGACATTGACTCACACATCGACTTACACACGCACGTCGACTTACACACACACATACATAGACTTACACATACACACACATCGACTTACACATGCACACACATAGCGACTGACACACACAATGTTTTAAGGGAGCTGAAAATGTGTGTGTGTGACCTTGTGTCTACACGAATGAAAATTGCCCCCTCCAAACACGTGTGAGTTGGTAGGGTCCAGAATGCGCGTATGCGTGCTTTGGCGCGTGCCGAGCGGTGTGTGTGTAGTGAGTCCAACTGAGTCGCAAACGTTATCTTGGGAGCAACACTATTTATTACGTAACTTTAACACGACATCACACAATCTACACTCGGGTCTCGAATGCCCATCTAACCACGCTACGGCAGAACTAGACACGGTTCGCTATCCCGGCCCTGCACCACAAGCTGGGTCCCGCACTGCGTGGCTAGAGGCTTCTTCTCCCCTACGTGGATCTTCTTCACACCAGCACACGAAGAACCCCGAGCTCCTCACGGGGCCCCGTTATATCTCCCTGGGCTGGGGCTGGCTCCGCCCTTCGCCCCGTCCACATTCCAGATCTCTGGAGCTCTTTCTCGAAGGCTCCCGAGAGCTCTTTTAGACCATGTGACCACCCAGCGGCCCCCGTCCACCGGTAGTCCCCCTCCAATATCATCCGGTCACGTGTCAGCAGGTCAACCAGCGTATCATGCCCCAAGGTAACCCTGACTGGCTGACACTCCCTCTCGCGCCCCCACCGGGAGCCCACACCGCACACTGCTCGTGGTGCCTCCGCGCTGGCCAGCGCTCACCCAAGCCCCGCTAGGGCTGGTACTACACCCCATAAGCGGGCTACACGTAATGTCAGCACACTATCCACCGTGGCTTCGTAATTCCGGCACCACACAGTGACAATCACAGTCACTACATGTGTAATCAATAAATAAATAATGCAACTGGTAAATCATTTAATATTAAATAGCAGTAATAGCAATGAGTGAACAGTAATGTTAAATGTTTTAAGGGAGCTGTAAATCTGTGTCTTACCTTGTACACTGTCCACATTAATGAGAATTCCCCCCCCACCGAACGCGTGTGACTTGGTAGGGGCGAGCATGCGCAGACGGGTGCTTTAGCGCGTGCTAATAAATAACCTAAAACAGCACTAAATCGCTAATTAAACTACTTTAAAGGTGACGGGCACAAAATCGGAATAGTGCTGGCTCAGCACGGGGCTTATGGCGTGGTACCTGGATACTTTTTTTAAACGTGAACCCCACGGTTTGCAAGCCAAATCCCTTGCAAGTTTCAGCCACACACAGACAAACAGACATAAAATGACATGTATAGGTAAGATACGAGATATGATAGACTCGTGAGGCCAGTGTCATTGGAGGTGCCACGGTGGCGAGATTTTAACTGCCTCGTCGGGTATATAGGAGGTTGTGGGTTCGCTGCATATCCCTGACGCCTGTATATTTGGAGTTTGTGTGTGTCTCTCACCTGTGGTCGTGTGTATTTTCACTCCACATTTAGAAGCATGCATTTAGAGTATCTGGCTGGTATGTATTTCCACGTGATAAGCTACTTCGTTGAGCTATCATTTGTGGCCAGGTCGACGTCTGAAAAAAAGCTACATAGCTCAGTGAGCCTTACCTGGTAAAATAAAAATAGATAATAGATAGAATAGTCATTAGCATTCATCTCTTGAAGCCAGCACAGCGCATGAAGAGGTGATGTGGCCACCTTTCTTTCCCCATTGCTAATGCTCACACATAGAGGATGCCTCGCACAGGTTTGTATTCCAGTTGCAACTATTGAGAGACAAGGGTGGAGCAAAAGAAATGGTGTTAAACACATCATCCTCTTGTGTATTGCACCATCCTGAATATGCGCTCGCAAACTCTACTTGCCCAGGCAAGACCATAAGGCTGAAAGTTGTGTCCTCTGTCTCTATTGTAATCTACAAAACGTGAGTAATAAAGATGATGATGAACACTGATGGTGAATTACAGTGGGTGGTGGTGGTGTTAACTCGTTTTTGTGCCAGGGTATGAAGCTCTTGTGTGTTGCCAGAACTCGCAGCCAGTCGCCTATTGATGTCCTCTCTTGGCAGCTCCAGCAGGGAAACTGAAATGCCCCCCGATGCCCCACGGATCGAGGATAAACCCCGCTCAGAGGACCCAACAGACCACGTGGAGGGGCCGGAGAAGGAGCTGCCACCAGTTCTGGCCACGCATGAAGAGAAGCCCCTGGTAGCGTCCGTTCAGCTGGAGGTGGCACCTGAAGCCAAGCTTGATGGCACGAAGGCTGAAGAGGTAAGGGAGGGGGGGGGAGGCATGCTTCTCAATTTGGCCGAAGTTTTTCCTTTCATCTAAACCTTTGGTGAAAACACGGAAAGGTGTAAATCGCCATTGTGACACGTTAGGATATTTTGGTAAAGATGTGTATCTTGTGTGAATTGCCTTTTTAATATTGAATGTTTAAAATTAGCTAGACTTGGTGGTGCATGCCTCTGAGCCAGTGTTCTTCAATGCAAGGCCCGGGGGCCACTAGCGGCCCTTGGTGGCTTTAGTGTGGCCCCCGACAATACACAAATGTGAAAAGACACCCATCATGCTGTCAAACCCAATGGTTTCAAATGTGTGGCGGCCCTCACACTGTTGATGTCTTATCAGCGAAAGTACCCCCCCTACAAAGACTGATTAGTGATGAACACTGCTCTAAGCCATCAATCGCATTGAAAGGATGTTTGGTGGATTGTACGAATTGAGGCTTATCTTATAGATCCCATGAAGTATTGGAATTTTTTACCAAATATTCAGGATATCATAGTAGTTGAGCATCACCACATTGCTGTTTTTAGTGGGGAGACACTTTTCGCCATAGGTCTGTCTTGCAAAATATACTCGATGGTTCTCAATACGGGACACTGTTAATCTAATTGACTGATTATCTTTCAATGCAGGAGCCCCGCCGTGCCGACGCGAGCACTCCTCCGTTCAAAGACGATCGGCTGGCCCCCAAGGACGCAGAGAGCGAAGATGGCGAGGAGACAGCGGCGGGCGACGAAAAAGAGGTCGCTCCCGCAGCAGAGGAAGGAGAGCCAGCGACCCCCACGGAGGGCAGCAGCGCCGCCACCACCCAGCACGTCGGCGACCCTGCAGGACACGCACCCCGGCCCCCACGAAGACATCCCCTCCTTCGACGAGTGGAAGAAGAAAGTGATGGAGGAGGAGAAAGAGAAGCAAAGCAAGTATCTCACTTGCCCTGCCCTCGTGCCCGTATTGCACATCAACGTGTAGGCGGAGGAGGGGGGGGTCCGTGGGTCACGATAATTTTGGATGTAGCGGAGGACTTTGGGTACGTAGGAACAGAGCTGATAATTCTAGGTTGGCGAGGGAAAGAGCCCGATATGCATTCCAATAGCAGGACAGGTTTTCATGTACTACAATAATTCGTTTTTTACCAAACCCATGTCCCCCCATGGACTTTTGTGAGTTAATTATTTCAGTGGCATTGATGCAAGACAATCAGACTCTGTACTGGTTTCCACCGTAGTGTCTCAGTAGCAGAGTCAGGCTTGCTCGAATTAATGTTGGAAAGCATTTTCTCTTAAAATATGGGTCCTAGTTCGACGCATAATTATTTTGTACATACCACTAAACAATCGATAGCAGTGTTGAGGAGAATGTAAGTATCAAATTGGATAAGCAAACAATGTCTTGTTTATATATCTGTTTCTCCACTTAAAATACAAAAGTATTTTTTCCACAACCCCCACCCGTCATCAGAACCAAAGAGTATGATTCCCTGTATATATCTAGGATGCCTTTGTGAGTCTCACATTTTTGTTTTGGGCAAAATCCTGCATTAAGGTGTTTTGACAATTCAAGTGCTTATTGAACAGTTCCTCTGTAGGACGGAGCGCTGTTGAGTTTCCCATAATTCTGGACACGTTTGATACCGGTTTGATGATGTAATAAGCATAACCCCTGACCGAGATTTAAACAATATTCTGATTGCTACTGCAGTGCCACCTGGCCACATCGCAGACGACGGTGCTTGCAACATCTCCATTTGTTTTTTTCCCGTTTTACAATGGCAACGTGGCACACGACTGCCCTTTGCCCGTATATTTTTCTCTGTTTTCACCGCAATTTATCTGAAGATACCTCGCCCTTTACCGGATAAAGGTCTCTCATGGGAATGTTTACACATGACTGAAACTCCCCACACATATCTACACTTGGCCAAACAGAATGACCCAGTATGCAGGACGTTCTTGGGTTTGATCCCGACCCCGATGATGCTTGTATCTTTGGAGTTTGCGTGTTTTCTCTCTCCCAGTGGTCGCGTGGATTTTTCTCCGCGTCCTCTGGTTTTGCCGTCCGCATTTAGAAACACGTTCTTAGATTGTTTGGTTGCTACTATAAATTTCCACATGATAAGCCACTTAGAGATGAGCTTTCATGTGTGGCCAAAAAGGTAAAAACTCAGATGGCTTTACGTGGTCAATAAAATAGTTTTTTTTTTAAGTATGGAGTCCCTTTTACAGAAAGATAATCAAAAGTTCACAAGCACCTCTTATTTAACAGTACATTGCTTACATTTATTTCAGTTTGACTACTAGTTGTGTTGGCTTTTACTCATAGTAATTTTTCTCGACTCGTCTGCCTCAAAGGCAAACTGTACACATAATTAATAAATCAAATGTCACTGCCATCTCGCATTTGCTCAAAGCAGCAAGCAGAGAAATTCTCTGTTTCCCCCCCCCGCCCTCCTTTTCCCGCAAGCATTATTTAGTTTTTACTTTGCAAGGACAAAAAAAATTATGCAGTTTAGAAACGATTACCTAATGTGAAATGTACGTTGGTATTTTACAGTCTTGCTCATCCTCACCCCACTTCACTCGTTGAATCTATGAGCCGAGGCGAGCGTGCTTTTGTTTTAACTTAATTCTAGTCATTGTCTCGTCCAATGTGCTGCCGTGCGCATTTGCAGGTCAAACCTTACAAAGCGTTGACAGTAGCCTCCACCAAGTGAGAAAGACCCAGAAAAATCTCAACAACTACGCGTCTGTGGAGTGCGGAGCGAAAATTCTTGCAACAAACCCTGAGGCTAAGGTAGGGTGCCCCACCACCCCCAACCCTCTCTCGGCTCCATCTCTCGAGTTTCCCAGGCGAGTCGCAGTTGCCTTCATTTGTCAGCATCAGCGCAAGGCGGTTTGCCAGAAAAGTCTTCCTTTAGGTTTTGCGTGCAAGGCGTGCCTGTCGGTTTGATTCAAAGTCATGCGTCCATTTTCTGTTGTTGCCGGTTACTTCACGGTTGTGTTCTTCGGTAGGACACGAGGATATTTTTTGCGCGCGTGTGTCAAAATCCATGAACGCATTGCCGGGGCAGTGCCTTAACGCTGGTCCCGTGAAATATTCTACCCCTCCACGTTAAGGGTTTTCCAAATGTCTGATATGAAGGTGCGCATGATGTATTAGTCGGCTTTGTAATACAAGTAGCCTGCGTTATATAAGTCCACTGAAATGAACCCCATGAATTGAAAACTGAAAAGGAGTTTTTTTTCGAAAATGGAATTGTTTGTAGATGTTGAATGACCTATTTTCATGTCATGTAACAGCCTCTGCCCTGTATTGGGATTTGGTTCCAAATTGCAAAAAAGTAATATCTGGTAGTGTGCACAGAAGTTGTTTTTACGTGTACAATGTGAAAATGTGTCAAGTCTTACACTTTAACAAAGACTGATTTATTTAATAAAAAAATGTGAAATTGGATGTTTAAAAACCCTTCTGCCTGTGGCATGATAGGTTTGGTATAACAATAACGAATAATGGTGACATTAGACACAGCTGATGCCCTGCGTTGTGTTTGCGATGTATTTCTAGAGCACTTCGGCAATATTGATGGAAAACATGGACCACTACATGCTCAACCCATGCAGTGCCAAAATATGGTGAGTTTATGCTGTGGGTGTGATTCGATGGACGAACGACAGAACCACGGCTATTTATAGATATATATATACATAAGGGATGTATTCCATAGTTTTAGATTGGTCTAAATAAAATCTGAAAAGTGAGCCTTTAAATTTCAAATGATCCAAAAATAGTTTTTGTTTCGGAAGTGACATCCCAGGAAGTGATGTCACTTCCATGCTACTACTTCCGTGATTTTCCCACCAAGTACTGTCACATGCCATCATTTAAATAATACGTTATTAAATTATGGAAATTTAAACATGTTTACATGCAATTATTGTTTTACTGATGGAACGTTGTTATAATTTAAATGTAGTAATTAATGTTTAAAAATACATTTTTTAGTTGGGCCTAAAATTCCATAAATCGAATATTTGAAATAATGAAAAAAAAATTCATCCCTAATAGACATTCATATACACACACACGTAAAAAAATAGCTTATAGTATTTTCCATGGGCAATCCTCAGCCAGTGGCGAAAATTCTCATGACAGGAGGACATTTTATTCATAGCACAACCACGGTTAACTTGACACAAAGTAGTACTGCTTTTATTAACCCTGGAGATCTGATGGGTCGAGTCAAATATAGACTGAGATTTGAACTTGCGACTTCCCCATTGTGAGCCAACCTCTGCCCATAGCACCACCAGCTAAGTGACATTGCAAATAAAGAGTCGCATAGTGTTTGTAGCAGCTCGTTAGTGACACTGTTCAATCTGTTGAGGACGACGCTGTTAAATTTCAGTTGAAAATTGTGAGACACGGCGCTGGTCATCCATGTGCTTGGTTCATGTAAAAAATATTTTTCTTCATGGACTCATGCATGTATGGCCGTTATTTAGTTCAGTTGACACGGCCGCATACATTGCGCTGACCCAACTGCATTGACATCCGTCATTACGCACCGTCACAATGTGGAGAAGCAATTAAAGGGTCGCGTGTTGCACTGGACGCACCCCCCTGCAAAGCTTCTGCCGCACAATTGACCAATCGGGCGCAGCGTTTGCCAGTAAGTGTCAAGCCAATTAAAAATGTCCACGCTGAGGTCTCATTGGCTAAGCCTGCAACAGGCCATGCATGCGGAGTGTGTTCCACCGGCACGGAAGACTCTTAATGTGTCTCAAGCAAAGGAATCAAAATCAGAATGTTTATTTATACTGGAGGAATCCGATGAGCTATGAAGTTCTTTTCACAGATATCCGGTAGGGAATGCCAACCGCCCCCTTCCTCAGGGTGGTGTGGTGAAATCATCGTGCGAGCTTTTATTACTTTGTGAAGCCTGCCAGGTCATGCCTTGGGGTTTTAAGGAGGAACATATGCAAAACTTGCGAACACTGGCAAATACACTGTTCTGCTTTGCCTTTTAGTAGATGGGACGTTTCCTAAAAATGGGGCTATTTATGACAATGCTTGAAAACTTTGCAATGCAAAATACAAATGTGTAGGTCATTGCGTGCTAGTGCTGTGCTCGGAAATTTGTACGGTTACCCACCAGGCTTTGTGCATGAGAACCATTAGTCATTAAACATTTCCTATTTGCTTTCTAGTTACAGCGTGTACTGTCAGCTTATTTTAAAGTGTGGATATACACTGATTTGAAAATAACTACACTGGCTACAAACTTGAACATCTGGTTTAATCACAGGCGACTGCCACTTCAGATGCAATGCACAAAAAGCAAATGCCTCTGATGTTGTTTAAATATGCCTACGTTATTGTGTTCAACACAGTGCGAAGTGTTGTTTAGACTTTAAAGTCATGGTCAGTGTTGCTGTCATAGAGCTCTAGCTACATCACTGTGAATGTCACTCTAGTGTGACTAGTGACAGTAACACAGTGATGTCGCTAGAGCAATAGTGTAGCAGGTTAGCGTACTGTGCTACAAACCCTGCGACCCGAGTTCTATTTCCGCTCATGGTCAACAACAGTGACGAATATCTGAACAAGTCCTTGGCCTCCCCTAGGTCGACTCATCCTCAAATGAGTGCCTGGTGCAGTGTGTAAACATCACCACTGGGGAGACAAAGGCAGCCGGGCGTGGTGCTGGCCAACCACCTCCTCGTGTCCCGTGTCGGCCTTCATAGGTGCTACTCGTGAATAAAAATTACCCCAACAGTCTGTTCAGGCTATACGAGGGATCTTTGTCTTTTAGTGTGCCCTAAGTTTGACCTTGCCTGTCATATAAACCACCTAAACCCTCATTAGTATAGCTTTAAGCTCTTAGCAGACAGTCTGGGACACGTTGCCTGGCTGTATCTTCTAGAAAAGAACTATTTGTGCTTTGTGTATTGTCTTCCCTCAAATCAATCTATACGCACACAGCCGTTTGCCAATCACCTGCTGGATGAGAGCTTCCTCAAGCTGTGCCTTTGGCGGGTGATATTTTATCGTACTTCGCCAAGTTGGCCAGTCTGGGTTTGTGAAGGTGGGGTGCATAGACGTAAGACCATATAAGTACAGCACAACAATGGATTTTGCTGCACTGCCCTGTGCTACTGACAAGGTGACCCCCGTATTCACCCCACCATCCTTCTCGGTTCGATTTGTTCTTCCAAGTTGCGTATTCAACCCTTATTGTAGCTCCACGCGCCACTATCCCGACGCTCTGTGCACTCGCCGTCCCTCCCCAAGGTTTGTGATTGAGCTCTGCGAGCCCGTGCAAGTGAAGCAGATCGACATCGCAAACTTCGAGCTCTTCTCGTCCACCCCTCAAGACTTCCTCATCTCCATCAGCGACCGGTAAGCCAGCTGTAGCACCTACGCTGCTAACCAAAGTGGCATCCCACTTCGTGGACTGACACGGGTTTCATAATTGGCGAAGCGTTCCCTGTATATCTGCATCTTATGCGGGTACGTCAAAACAATCTCCTGTTTGGCCTCGGGGAGAACTTGTTAAGGACTGCAAGGCACATGAGGGGTGGTGTGGCTAGCACCATGGTGGAGGATGCCTCGTTTCCCTGGGATCGATGGTCTTAACAATGCACCAAGTTCCCTTTTTAGGGTTAGGAGGGGGTGGATGGCCAACATCACGCTCGGCCACGTTTATCTCAACAGTGCCTATGTTACACACTGCATCAGGCCGAGTCAAACTAGGTGAGGCCAAGGATCGGTACAAATATTCTCCGCTGTTATTGGTCATGAGCAGCAACGGAAGACGGGTCGCCAGGTTCGTTGCGCAGTGCACAATCTGCTGCGCTGCTGCTCAACCCTGACACACATGCACAACATACAGAGACAAACACAGATATAAAGACAGAGGTCCCCCATATAATCTTGAACAGACTCTTGGGGCAAGTGCTCTTAGCGAACATCCATGAAGGCCGGTACAGTGGGGTAGGCGGCTACTACCACTCCCAGTTGACTTTGATAGTTACACACCACACCAGGTACTCATTTAAGGCTACATTGACCTAGAGGAGGCCCAGGGCCACATGCGTTCCCACAGACACACACATAACCACAATGGTAAAATGGTTATTGCACTGTACCGTGATCCAAGTGCAGCACGTTAGGATTATTGGCAACCCAAATCGGTGGCAATTGGACGTGTACACCTAGGAGGGTTTGTTTCTCCTTGCTCCACATAGCCTGGTAAAATTGTGCATCAACAACAGCACCAAAGAAATTAAGGGCAGGCGGACATCCACGGTGCCGGCCCGCCTTACCCCTTGGCATGCCAGTCCTATTAACCCTTTCATGTTCCGAGACATCTGCAAGTTGTACAGGTGGGTCCTGTTGAATCTCGGAACGCTCAAGCGGCTCGGTTTTAATTTTACTTAGAGAGGCGTAGCGCCGTTGTTTTTAAAGACATTGTACTCATCGCAGAGAACTGTAGTGACACAACCGGACGATAGCTGGCACCAAACTGTGGCACACGCCCTCCCGCGCACGGCCTTGTGAGAGCCTCAGTACCGATAAAGAAAAGCTGATGACAGTACACATACGTTATCGGAACGGGAAAGGGTTGATAACAATAGGTGCTCGCTAACAACACTTGCCCCGGAACGAGCTGGGACGCGAAAGCGATGACCTTAGATTCTCTGCGTTTTGTAGGTACCCGACAAGAGAGTGGAACTAAGCTGGGCAAATTCCACGCGCGCGATGAGAGGACTGTCCAGAGCTTTCCGCTCGACGAGCAGATGTTCGCCAAGTTCCTCAAGGTATTGCTGTTGCAGCCTCTGCTGCAAATGGGTGCAGCTGTCACGTTCTGCTCGGCACGCTTTACATGCCTCGACAATTTCCATAGTCGGGGACTAACAGCAGTAATCTGCATTTAGACGCTATTTCAATTCTAAGTCATATTATATTATACCATCATTATTGACATCGTAATCAGCCGTGATATCTCCACCGGTGGATGAAGGCCTCCACAAGCCCATCGCCATCTCCCCACGGTTTTGTGATGCGACAATCCGTGGCTGCCACATTCGTCTCAGCTGCGACCATCGTGTAATTATATTCTACCAAAATTGAAAGTCTTAGGGTAGTGCTGCCAAGCACGCGAATTCACGTGCACAAACGCGTCCTGGCGCACCAGAATCCACTGCGGTTAACTGCAGTCGAGCTTGCTGAGTAAGCCCTGAGCTTGCAGCTGTCAATGGAGAAGACAGCCTCAGGCACAGGACTGTACGACCTTCTAACCGACACAGGACTCGTGCAGTGGCAGCTGAAATCATAAATGTATCTCTAAGCATTGCTTATGCTCGGTTGAATTGCGCACTGTATGCCAATCCTCCCTTTGGGATGATCATTGTGACCTTCCCACAAAGTGGTGGTAATTTTAATTGACCCCAGAGGTATGATGGCTGAATAAACCCCGAACCAGGATTTTAGCTGTGCTGTGACCGCATGATTAGCATTGGTGGAATATTTTTTGTTGATAAATATTGTAACTGTGTGCAAATTTAAATCACTCAAACTGTCTCATTCTGAATATTCTTACACAACAATTACATCGACACATCGGTGACAAGCAGAACATTTCGCCATACAACTGTGACCGTTTTGCATGATGCAAACATGCAATGCATTGATACCGAATTTCTTTTCTCAAGACGAGTAACTTTAGAGCATGAGGCCGTTGTGTCTTTGTGATTGTGTTTTTCCTTCTGTTCTGACTTTTGCTCCATATTGCCGTCTTCAGATGTTCGCCAAATACATAAAGGTATTTTTGAGTCGCATCCGTTTGCTGTTGAGCTGTGCACTGGTGTTGATCCCCGCGCTTGTTTGACGAATCCTGGACATTTCTGCATACTGGGGGCACGCAGGGGTTTTTTTTTTTTGCAAATTAAGATGTGAATTTGGTCTCAATGAAGCTGGGGACCTAAGCGCAAATGAACAAAAACAAGCAATGTGAATAAACTTTTTAAATCTCACCTTTTAAATGGAGACGCAACCTAAACCCCCTACCACCATTGTAGCTATGCACTCAAAAGTATCTAAAACATGTGGCCTAGATATAAATTTTCAGATGATCCGGCAAAAAATAAACATTTTTTTTCGATTGTTCAAGAAACTGGAAGTGATGTCACTAACGTGAAGAAGTCATTTTCACACTTTTCTTGGCTAACATGGCGTCACATGGTATGAGGTGACATCACTTTCGTTAGTCTGTATACACTGCAGATGTAATGTCAATCTAAAAATAAGTCCGAAATTGTCCTGTCAAATTCTGAAATAGTTACATCCAAAATGCATGAAATGCGAGATTTAATTCCTACTACACACCCAGGCTGTTGTATCCCATGCTGTCCGACATGCCGTTTGGTGCTTGGTTAGCAGTAATAACATACTTTAAAGTTATTCTCAAACTTGCAGCAGTGACATCACTGTCGCATCACTTCAGTTTCTTTGAATAACAGTCCCTGAAAATAACCGAAATCTTTTAGCTCATCAACTCATCAACTACTTGCTGGTGTCGGGACAGTGCGGGATTCGCAGCCTAGATGTGTCTCTGCAAGACAAGACCAATTCGTTGTGTGGGTTGCGTATTCCTTTAATACACACTTAATGAAATGCAGGCTTTTAATGGCAATCGGTGAAGGTGAGAAGAACATGTTTTGTGTAATCCCAAACGGCAAAACAGACTCCTTGGAAAGCACCGTGTTGGTGGAAGGCAGTTGGCTGTGATTTTTTAAAAAAATCCAATGTGCTTTGAGTAGAAGAAGTGCATCTGCTGGGGATATCATGGTTAGGGGTTAGGGCGGGTGGCAAACACCCCAGCATAATCCCAGAAGATAGTACACGTGTGAGCGAGCAATTAGACGAACTAATTAATTAGCTAATGCGTAAAGTAATTAGCTAATGTGATTAACTGTGGTTATGGGTGATGCTTTGAAATACATTGATGCAGTGAGACGAGACACAGAACACACGCCGCTTGAGCAGTCGAATCCAGTGCCGGAAAATGAGAATTTCCTTTTCTTCATTTCAAAAGCCAACCCATTTCCTAACCCTATTAATTGGGGCCAAATTATGAATTTACCCACAATTCATTTGTCCTCAAGTGATTTAAGGATGCTTGTTACACGTACGAATAACTACTACGTTGCACTGATACGTGTGTTTCTTATTAAGCTCCACTGACTCTTTAGACTGTTTCTCAAGGAGGCTCCTACTTTGGAATGTTTGGTCACTGCATTCCAGGTTCACCTTTGCTTACAGACTGTGTGACTAACTCTGCTCTGAAAGACATGCATAGCCTTACTCCAAACCCAACTATAAACCCAACAAATAATGTCAAGTACTTTATTTGAGCGCCTTATGTATTATTTAACATAAATATTAATGCTTTACTTCCTGCATTTATATTATTATGTGTGGTCTATGTAGAAAAATTAATTTGAACTCTTTGACGTTATTTTAATCTTTCGTCCCCAGGTTTCACTTGTTAAGGAACTTATTGTCACAGATGGCTTCTTACCTGGCTGAAATAAATTTGCCGTGCAACAAAACTCAGCACAGCCACGTGTCAAACTCTCGTTGCTGCTCTCATGTAATAAAACATTACCCATTGAAAGAAAAACAAATCAATCAACCAATCTTGATTTTACGTGCTAATATCGCCCTTAATAAAGTAGGTATTAGTGTATTGTCCTTTCCCCCTGCACCTCCGATTAGCACAGTTGGCTCCATACGATGCAAAATAAGTTCAACATACGTACACTCCAGCACTGCATGCACCCTGCACCGCACGTGCTGCCTTTTTGACCATCGGTGTTGCCACCCACCGGGCAATGTTGGTAATTTTAAGTGGGTCTCAGTCCCCAGCTTCAGCTTTATTGCGTGGTGCTGCACACTGGGGAGGGAGCACTGTCGCCTGCATGCACAACAGCTGTGGATGATGTTAATTCACGAGCAGAGGCTGCCGTGCGAGCTCTCGCGCTTGCTCCTTTTTTCCCCCCCAGTGATTTTCAACGCAGCGCACGGCAAAGATGATCGCGCGGCGTTTACCGTTCACGTGCTTGCGTGGTTGCACCTCTGTTAGCTTTTGCAGTGTCGGGCAACGTAAGAGGAGCTAAAACGACAACAGAGGAGCGTTGCTTCAGTCAAGCGTCTGTATTCAGATTGGCGTAGCCCCTTGATGTATTCCTGTCCTGCACAAATAACATCTCCAATCAAGTGCGGCTTCACTCATTTCTGAATTGAGTGCTGTTGAGCCTTGCGTACCTTGTCAAATGGTCGATCAGTTTGTTGTTCGCGACTTTAAAACACCAATTGTATATTTTGGTCATCTTTGTTGACAGCTATGTGCCAGTGGTGGGAATTACTCATTCCTATGGCAAGCACCAGTCTTTCTACAAGCTTTCTACAGACTATCTCCACTGTTGACTTAACACAAAGTGGTCGCTCTTTTTTATCGACTCATGGGAAATGATGGGCTGGGTTGACTCCCAAACGTCATTTGAACCTTGAACTCTCTGAGAGTCAAATTCTCCAACCAGAATGCCACCCGGCCAGATTACAAACGTATGGGATCCTAATTTTATTAACGAAGGGAATGCGCAGCATGGAACGGTTGACTGCAGACATGCAGATTGCATGTTGGTCGTGTCATTGCTTTTAACCTTGTATTGTCTGGATTTTAGGTGGAGCTATTGTCCCACTTTGGAAAAGAACATTTTTGTCCACTGAGCCTCATCAGGTGAGTGGTCATGAGGATTAATGTTTGTTAGTGGTTACATTTGCAGTGTCACTATTGGGGTCAATTGCACAGTCTATAACATTTTCCTTAAGCTTCTAATACATTTAAATTTTACCTTCGCTTGTGCTTACTCGTGTACGTGCATGCCCATTCATGTGCTTAGCAAGCACCGATGGCATCTCATAAAGATATTCATTAGGTTGGTGCTTGCCAACAGAAGCAACTTTACCTGCACCATTAGCATGCTGTATAATCTTTTGGGTACGTGTTAGCAGTGAAGATCGTGATTTGTTAAGGGCTTGTCCTCGCTAAGAGAGAGAGAGACATTTGCCTCTTGTTTGTGTGCTGCGCTTGCAGGGTGTTTGGCACCAGCATGGTGGAGGAGTACGAAGAGATTGCCGAGTCTCACTACAACCCCGAGGTGCCCGGCATCATCGATGAAGACTCCGGTGAGGCTCGGTCGTTTACAAAATGCTCGGGAAGGGCTCTCGAATTTGGAAGAGCATCTGTAACACTTCCCAGTTCGAAAAAATCACGTCGCCTCTCTGCAATGCACCGTACGAAAGAAGAACATTGGAAGAAGCTTGAGTGAGGCTCGACTAAATCGTCGTTGACTGAGTGAAGTCTCGCTCACCTCTCCTTAGGAGGCTCCGATAATGTAAGGGGAAGACTCGTGTATTGCCAACTCTGTCCACGTGGCTCTGGTTAGAAAGACCCTGTTCAAACGGATTGGCTGCACACACACCTCCTGGAGCCTCACAATTTGTCCTCTTTGAAAACGAAAACTGAAATAAAACGCAAAGAACTGCCCTGCTATAAAGAGGTTCCATTGCCCGAAACATGGGCTTGCTTAACATTATTCATTCAGAATACAGTGTTGTTGACAAGACAATGGTAATGACGTGTCTGCCTAAGATAATATTGCCCTAATGCAATGCTGTTACTTTGATATTAATCGCCCTTCACCAGATTACCCCATCGATTATGGAAGCAAAATGGACACGGACTCCAAAAATATTATCGGATCTGCCACAGGTGAGACGCGGTGCCCTGACACCTGAGCCCCTTCTCCAGTCACAGCCGGGTGACACTACTTATTAGGGGGCGCCACAGTGGCAAGATGTTAACCAACTCGCCTGGTATACAGAAGGTCGTGGGTTCGATCCCAACCCTGACTCCTGTACATTTGGAGTTTTCGTGTAATCCCCGTGGTCACGTGGATTTTTCTGCGGTTCCTCCGATTTTTCCCTCCACATTTATAGACGTGCGTTTCGAGTATTTGGCTGCTATACATTTCCACGTGATGAACCACTTCGTTGAGCTGTCATTTGTGGCCAGGTCGCTTCTGAAAAAATTAACCCGTAAAAACAAAGTTTTTCACTATAAATCCTTTATATGCGTGGCATCGGTTTTATTTTATTATTCATTTCTGTTTTTCTTGAGTAAGAGTTTCATTTTTATCACATTGGTATTTTAAATTAAATATGAAAAAAAAAATCCTAAAAAGTGGAAAATTTTGGAAAAAAAATTTCACGAAAATTAATTGTCACGCACAACGAGTCTGTGTGCAAAATGTCAGCTCGATTGGATCACGGGAAGTGGGTTAAAAAACGACCGAAAGATTTGCACGGTCGTAAGCGCGCAAGCAAGCAAGTGAACTTAATATAAAGGATTTAAAAAGAGCCGTATAGCTCAGTGGCCCTTACCTGGTAAAATAAAAAATTGTTTAATTTGAGTATATTCACAACTCACAAACAAAATGTTGAATTCTAATCCCTATCAGGGGCTGACTCAGCCCATCAACTTTCCTGAGCCGATAGAATGAGCATCGTATTATGAGAAATGAATAGTTATTGTCCTGTGGAGAGTCTGGTACCTGTCACAGGAGTGTAGATTTCCACCACTGGTTTAGGACTGCCAACAGAGATGACGTTTGAGTAGAGACTGGAAATATTTGAATGCTGATGTTTACATTACCTTCCTTTTTCTGTCGCATCACGTTTTTACAATTCCATTCTCTTCGAACAGTGCTGTTATCATGCATTTAATATTTAATCAACCCAGACCAATGTCCAACAGATGGCTGGGGAACACAATGAAGGTGTCCACTTTTAACGCAAATGGGGAGAGACATTGTGTTAATGACTACCTTTGTTTTCATCTTTTTAAAAGGATAATGTGGCTTAAATTTCCATATCTTTGTTTTATTTTCAAGCAGCTTTTTGAGTGTGGAAGACCCCACGTTGAAGCTGGTAATGGGCACTGTGACAAGTGTGCCCCCATTTCCTGCCTTGTGAAGCTGTGATTTAAATTTCCTACCATTTCCACTTTCTTCATCCCTCGATGAAAAAAAATAATAACAGGGCTGTTGAGAGTGTCAATTTTGATGACCTAAGTTTCGCTCCCGCTTGCGTGTCCCCTCCTTTTTAGATGCCATCCTCAGCATGGTGAACATTGCGGCCAAGGTGCTCGGCGGAAGCAACGAAGCGGAGGGGTCGCAATCCTCCATGTTTCCCCGCGGTCAGTTCACCGCTAACTGTGACCATTCCACAGTATTGCTCACGGAGCGAGAGCCCATTGAGAGTCACACCGTCCTTGTTGCAATAGAGAGACGCGATTGGTCGGAGCTATTTGTGCGTGCAGGTTAGCTGAGTGATGCGTGTGCACCTTTAACGCTGTCCATTCTCATGCATGGGCTTTATCCAGGTTTAACACCATTGACAAATTAATTGGACAAAACTTACCAAGGAGGACCATACTGCAAAAAATATTTCCCGACTCATTGAGCCATTCCAAACGTTACAAGCTATATTATCGCTTTACACATTTGACGCGCATTATTGTTTTTATCCAATAAAGTTACGGGTAAAAGTGTTTTGATTTGTGCCGTCACGCTGCCACACCGTCACCTGTTACTTGCTAATAAATGATGTTGCAGCGTTGTCCCGCGATTTCCCCCATCATATCAGATTAAATGTTCTGCGAGAGATTCCCAGGGTGGCTGCAGTTGGGTATTAAAGCATAGACGTTGTGCACAGCTGATTTAGTGGCGGTTGTACTCAACACTAGGCCAGTGGTCTCCAACCTCTGCACCTGCGAATCAATGTCAAACCCTCAGAGCATTTTCCTGGACCACCATGCACCAGTAGTAGCGTGTTTTTGAAAATTAAAACGTCTCGAACAGTGCTTATAAAATGCTGATGCCGTGAAACAAACACGTTGCTTCTTAGTTACTCGCATTGTAAAAAAAGTTAATAACTATATAAGTATATAAAATAGCTAGATAATGTCATTTATGCTTTTACTGTGCCGCCACACAGCATTCAGTAAACCTCTAAAAGAAAAGGGAATGACTCGGAAGCACGAGTAAGAACCACATGGAAAGGCAGCCACACGAATTCCACCCCCTCCCAAGCTCTGCGGTCCTCTATATATCAGGGTGTTATCGGCCAATAAGATGGCTAAAACATACGGTGTGTTGTGGAAACAAGTTGCAGTATCTGCAGCAGCTCTGTTGACCATTCCCCACGGCCTGACGGAGCACTCTTGATCCGCGGGGTACCGGTTGGGAACCACTGCACTAGGCTATCCTGGGGACAAATGAAAATACATTCCTGTGATATTCGTGCTTTCTGGTGGGGCTCACTTTGCATTCACCTGACCGGTAACTCTATAAGCCTTTGTATTATAATTTTCTTCATTAGGTTTGTTCTTTCGCCTGTCCTTGGGCCAGAGCAGTCGCGATTGCCACCTTGTCGTCGTGATTTAATTCTACGACGAATAAAAGTGAATTGTGAGAATTACTCGGATGAAGGAATTCATTTGAAACTATTATGTAATTCACTTTTACTGTGCTTGAAGGGATATCGTTACGCTTTAATTTTGTCACTTTGTGGTACAGGGAGGTAACATTTTGGGGTTTTGGGTCCATGAAATACAAAGCTGATAGTTATGTTGGTAACCAATTTGACATTTATTACGACTGCCAAAACACTTAATTCCTGTCTTCAATATATACTTTGTAAAAAATATATATATCGTGGTGCGTGGTATTTATGGTTGCTTTCTTTTGATATGTTTTAGATAACGTCAGCAGCTTGAGCAACGAGACATCAGCAAACAGCTCCACCTCGCCGCCTGTGGAAATTGCGTACGTAACAATTCAAGCATGAACACGTCAATGTGACGTTGAGAACAACATTACATACGAGGCAGAACTTCGAAGGGCTTTCTCTCGCACTGACCAAGACAACGTGTCGTTTCGTTTCAGCGCCCCACCTGCGGGCAACCGGACGGAAAACGGTTCAGTCACGGACGCCGCCAACAACACCGCTTCGGAGGAATCGCCCCCCCCACGCTGATCCCCGTGGTGGTTCCCCTGGAGGGCGAAGGCGATGTCGACGAACACGAGACCCAAGGTGGCGGCGATGAGGAACGCGAGCCCGTGGGACTGGCGGAGCCGCCCGCTCCACCAGGGCTGGCGCCCCCGCTGAGCATCGTGACGCAGCTGGGCCCCGAGGAGGACCAGTCCCCCTGGCTGGAGGAGCTGCGGGCGGCGTGGCTTCACGCGGAGACGCGCACGCTGTGCCGGGGAGGGGGGGCGGCGCTCGGGCGCTCGTGCGCTGCGCGCTTCCCCGAGCTGGCGCTGCGCGTGTGCCTCCCGTGGCGGGACCGAGACACGCTACGGGCGCCACGACCTCCGGCGCCGCCAGAGAGCGCCGCCTCTCCCGCCCCCGACGCCGTCGACGAGGACTCGATGACGGCGGCGGCGACCGCACGCGTCGCCGGGCCCGAGCACGCGGGGACGTTGCCCGAGGCCGGCGAGGTGAACTTGTCGGAAACCTCTTCGGGCTCGGAGCTCTTGGGCGAGCGCTGTCTGCTGCCACCCCACCCCGCCGCCACTTACGCGGAGGCCGGCACGGAGCGGCCGTCCTCCTTCGGCCGAGCGGAGCCCGGGCGGCGACGGCGGAGAGAGACCGACGGAGGCGGCGGGACCTCGAGCCGAGGCAAAAGCGGAGGACGCCAAGTCGGCGGCGGCCTCATCCGAGCGTGGCGTCACTCAGGAGCAGCAGGCGGTGGACGTCTCTCCGAGCCACGCCTCGGAACACAACGCCGCGGCTCCCACGGACACGGAGATTGTAGTCGAAGCGTCGCCGCCTGACACGTCCGAGGATCAAGCTGCCGCCTCCTCCGCCTCCTCCGTGCTGGGGGCGGCCGAGACGAACGACGGGGGCGCGGTGTTGAACGCGACAACGGCTGCGACGGTGGCGGCGATTCCTGTGGAGCCCTCGCAGACGCAGACGCTTCAGCCGACGCCTCCGAAGCAGCAGCAGACTCAGCAGCAAACTCAGCAGCAAACTCAGCAGCAGGCGCAGCAGCAGGTGCAGCAGCAGACGGGTGATGCAGCAACGCAAGCGGTGGCTGTGCTGCCCTCCGCGCAGCATTCTGAGACGGTGGAGACGGTTGGAGACAGGGTAGTGGACACCGTCGACAGGACTCTGCCAGCGTCCACCCCAGCTGGAGAGTTGCTCGCAGTGGAGGAGTCGGCAGTACAAGGAGCAGGAAATGGCAGGTGTGTTCAGATGCGACGACCTTCACTGTGTTCGATATCATTTTTGTGACTCCTCGGGGTTGGGAGATTCGTTAACGAGGCAGGGTTTTGGAAGGTGTCAAAGACGACACAGTGCAATCGAAAGTAAGTTGTCATCACTGGCAAGTCTGAGGCTACATTACATCCTAATCGTAGAGAACGTCTCAATTGGAAGGTTGCGATATCCTATACTTAGGGTGGATCGACTGGGCCCATCATCTATGCAGCATATAATGGGTACTACTTTGTGGGAAGTCATCATTGGTTGTCCATGGTAGAGACCGAACTCCATCATGGAAATGTTAATATTCACTGCTGGGTGATGGCCAGAGAGCATAAGAACACTGCGCTAAGCTCATTTGAGCAAGGAGACACTTTTACTTTTGTAAGGAGAATGATAATAATTGAATGTTGAGCTTCACGCCTCCTTTGCAACTCTGTCCTCATATGACATCACATTTAAAGCAATTCCCTCCTCTATTGATAGCAGTGAACGATGCTCTTCTCATGTACTCAATATTTAAATTACTTTGTTCTCATTCGAGCCCCGTCTGATCTCATTAAATGCAGCAAAATTACGTTACTGTCAATTAACGTAACATTGGGGCGGCTTTATTCCCATTTACTTAAAATATAAATATCTCCCTGTTGATTGAGTTCACTGTTTGAACAACTTGCTACGACATCTCGTAACAATTAAACACTGCCGTTACCAACGAACAGTCGCGCTTAGAATGTCGACTATTCTCATTTGCTAAGCCGTTGTTTACCAAACGCCGACTTGGCACATGACCTCGGCCTCGCCCGCCACCCATCCATTGACCGGAACCGTCACCGCGGCTGCCTGCGCTGTCGCACCAACCAGGGCATCGCCTCCCACTACTGTGGGCGCTACAGCCGCTGCGGCCTGCGGCTGCTGCCGCTGCTGCAGCCGCGGCCGCGGCGTCGGAGTTCTACGCGGAGGCGAGCATCGCGGGCGAAGTGGCGCTCGCTCCGGGCGGTCTCGTGCACGGCTCGAGCCAGAAGGAGTCTGTGTTCATGCGTCTCAACAATCGCATCAAGGCCCTCGAAGTCAACATGTCGCTCAGCAGCCGCTACCTGGAGGAGCTTAGCCAGAGGTGGACGTCGCCCGCTCGCCCGCTCGCTGACTCACACGCTTATGCTTCTGCACCACCCGTGCCGTCACTGAAGCCACACACAGATGTCCCCTTGGGGAGATCTGCTGCCTTCGTTATGAAGGAGAGCAGGGAGGCAGCGTTGCCATTGTCATCGTTATTCTCGCTATGGTCGTTATCATCACCATGGTCATAATTATGAGTGTACACCCTCATCGTCACCGTGGGTATCACCACAGTGTTCGTCATCGTAAAGAATAATCTTTCATAGAAAAATCACTCCCAAGGCACCTTGCAGTAGACAATCCTTCACACTGCACATCCTTTTCGCCGCACATCATTATTGTCATCATCGTCTTCAACATTTTGAAAATAATAAAAATACGTTCGTCATCCCGGTTATTGTTTGCACCGTCACCGTAGTCGTGGTTCGTCATTCTCATCATCCTCTTCATTGTTGTTATCACGATGCCGTAATCTTGAATATCTGTCACAAAGTGCCCCTGCAGAGTTTTCACAAAACTGTACGTTGTGTGTTCTCTATAATTATAAGATAAGAAGGCTGGCTATGCTTAATCTCGTCTGCACAGAGGCAGCAGTGGGATTCCTATGGAGAATTCCTTTTGTCCACATTCTCAACAGAAGGCTACTGGAACATTTGACATCATACTCCTATGAAAACTAATCTTTGAAAACTAAGAGCTATATAGCTCTGTCAAAAGCGACCTGGCCACAAATGATAGCTCAACGAAGTGGCTTATCACGTGGAAATTTATAGCAGCCAAATACTCTCAATGCATGTTTATGAATGTGGAGGGAAATACCGGACGACCTGGAGAAAAATCAACGTGACCACGAGGAGAACAGCAGGGGTCGGGATCGAACCCATGACCTGTATACCAGGCACGGTAGTTAACGTAATAGATGGCAACAGCGGAGAGGTGGAAATAACGAATACGGAAGACTGCCATTCATTTCACATTGCTTTTACATTTAAATTCGTGCTCCTGTTCATGTAATTTTTTTGCCAGAATATTTTTTAATCCTCGAGGACGTAAAAACCTCACAACACATTACAGTATCTTGGCATTTTATTACGTAAAAAAGATTACTTTTAGTGCTCCGGGTACAGGATTGAGAGGCAAGCACGAAAATAAGAGCCGTCTCATATTCAATTGCATAGCAACGGGTACTCTACGAGTCATATTTCAAAAAACAAATTACTTTATATAGCCACGTTTATCTACGTCTCCATTAATGCAGAGGCCACGCCCGTCGATGGGCTGTCTGGCAGTTGACTCTCGCAGGTTAACGGTGCATTTCCTTGTCCTAACAGTCGCGTGTGTTTCGTGCTTCCATTCCGCAGGTATCGCAAGCAGATGGAGGAGATGCAGAAAGCTTTCAATAAGACCATCATCAAGTTACAGAACACCTCTCGCCTTGCGGAGGAGCAGGTCAGCACATTAGTGAATTACCCCAGGGCAGCATTTCTTCAACGCTCCGTAATGGGGGAACTGTAAACCGTACCTCCTCTGATATCCCCATGTAAGCTTAAGCCGGCTTAAATCAGCAGAAACCTAGAATCGTCTGAAAACTGAACATTTACAAATAATTTCTTTAGAACTGCTTTTTGTGTTTAGCTTGTTGTCCTTCCCCCGCGCCTCACATGAGCACGGTTGGCTACGTACAGTGCGGAAGAAGTTCTACATACATACGTGCCGCTAATTAAAACTGGTTTGGAACATTCTCACTCAACTAGTTCTATCTTTGCTCATGTCACTTCTCTGTTCACAAGCAGTTGAACCAGTGGCATTGCCACCCCACTTTCCTGCCGGTTAACTTGCGGGCATACTGCTGATATGCACGCATACACACACACGTGGAAGTCTGCCGGTATTGGGCGGTAACCGCTTTTAGACGCTGTCGGGTTTTTGGAGCTCGCTGGGGTGCCGGGATTCACCGTGGAGCCAACCGCTAAGGCCCCATCCTCTTTTTGTGCTGCCGTTGCTATTGCATTAGGACAAGAGACAGTCGGAGACCATCAACCAGATGCAGGTGCAGCTGGGGAATCTGTCGGACCTGATCAACAACCTCAGCCAAGCCACCGAGACTCTGCAGGCAAAGGTAATGCATGGCGTGAGCGAGCGGTGTGCGTGTCAAGAGAAGAATGCCAGTTCCGATTGCTAAGTATGAATACATTTGCGTCTTATGGATGAAAGGTCGAATAGATGCATCAGCATGTCCAGCATGAACCCAGCCTACAACCGTTCAGGTTGGAATCACTTTCACGGCGGGTTATGTCACGTAGAGTGGGGCATAATATTACCCGTAAATATATTCACTACAGCAGTGCTTCCAAACCTGTGATTCGCAAGGTTGTGGGAAGTTATCTGGGGAATTGATGCAGATAGGGTAGTTTTAATTTTGAATAAATAAATGTTTTGGAGTTGGTGGTCCGTGAAAATATGGTGAGTGTTGCCAGTGGTGCACGAGTCAAGAGAGGCTTTGATTCATTCTGCTTGAGTGTCGCTGTCTAGAAATTAGTATTCAAATATCTACGTCTGTTGAACCAGGTAACAGCCGATTGAGATTCAGGACATATTTCGCAAGGCAGACATGGGTGAAACTCACTTTATCTGAAACTATTTCCCTCCACAAGAATGTGGTTAATTCTCTGGCTTAGAGCCACCAACAAAGATGAACATCCGCCAATGTTCGTTTACTCACGCAGATAGATACATTCTGTTCAGCTGGGGTAACTTTATAGCCAGTGGTAGCTGGGCTCGTTGGAAATTACCTCTCGATCAAATGTAACTTTGAATAAGCAACGAAGGAGAACCAGGGCAAATAAAGAGTGTAGAGGTTTGAAAGCTGCAGTTTAAAGTTTTGCGCTGGTTGTAGCTCAACTACCCTCCACCAGCAGCAATCAAATCAGCTCACTTACAGGAGCTTAATGCAATGTTGCATTTTAAGACTTTGATAGACATGGCGACAGCTTGGGAAGCCTTCATCCAGCGGCGGACAGATCACAACGGGTGTGCTCTTTTAAACTGGCTACTTTCCTTCGCCGAGCTGGCGTGTGCCTGGCGGTGGGACGCGAGGCTCTCCGTTGACGGGGGGCGTGGCGTGGTTTGCGTCGGCAGGTGTCGGAGCGCGACGTGTCGCTGCTCATCTCCGAGATGGTCTGCGTGCTGCTGGTGTTCGTGCTCTGCTGGCAGCGCTGCCGGCGGCCCCGAGCGCCCACCAAGAGCACCGCGAACGTCGCCTATGGCGACGGCAGCCTCTGCGGATCCTACCCCGATACACAGTGAGCGCAGCACGGGTTCGGTCCGGCGTCGGATTTAATGCGAGGGCTTTAGGACCTGCATTCCAGGGCCTCGGATTTTGAGGGCTCCCCAAACCCTCCCCCTCCCCCCCCAAAAAATTATAAACTACTTTTTTTTTATTGCAACAAAAACGCGGGCCCCGGTACAGTGCGTCGCTGTTCGATAGGCGAGGTGCAAAGAAATCGACAGGAATTCCCGAGCGGCGCGTCGAGAGCGGTAATAGAAGAGGTCCACGAGGGCCTGGTGCCCCGACCAAGTGGGGACCCTGCGTAGGGGCGGGTGGGTGGGGTGAGTGAAAATGTTCATAAGGGGGGAAGAGGGGTAGTAAAGGAACATTCTATACATCAACTGATGTACGTGCAGCGAATGGCCATGGGTACCGGCCTCCCTTTGCTCACGGGTCAGCTGTACGATAAATGCAAACGAAAATTGGGCGAATTAAATCCACAGTGTTACTTTTGTCATATGCCGAAATTAAAATAGTTTTGTTCATTTTAAATTTAATTTAGCTTTACAATTAGATCACGTTTAAATAGCAGAAATTAAATAACCATGGTAAGCAACAATGGGGAGTTTAGTATCAGGCATGGTTGGCAGTAAAACAGTAGGAATGGAATATACAATTAGGGGGTTCAAAACTAACTAACCCGAGCCCCCATAAAACTTAATCCGATGCTGCAAGTGCCAAGGTCTCTGGCCACACACACGCAGTTATAGTTGGTGTGCAGGCTATGCAAAGGCTTGGGCAAGCGCAGTAAACGTGCATCATTATAATACTTTCACTTTCCCCAGAAAAGTGTTTTTCCCAGTGGAGAGAGTCGTGCCCCACGAAAGTAATGGAGAAAGAATTATCAGCACTAGCCCAGGGCTGTGAACAAAACATGGTCATGAGAACCTTTGGACTTTCGGACCCATAAAGACATTTTACTCAGGACGTTTCTTCACAGGATGTTTGGTCAAGTCCTTTAACGAGTGTTGAGTGTGCGGAAGGGAAAACCAATCACACATTTGTGGGGGTAACACTCCAATATGCATATGTACAAGTCTGTAGCCCATTTGCTGTATTACGCTTGATTGACAGTCCTTATCGGCCAGCAGGTCGCGTATGCGTATATCACAAACGCGTTCGATGTGACCCGACAACAGTGCTGGATTAGAGACATCCGCTGTCCTGCCGGGCCAGTGGCGTCGATATGACCTGCCACTTCGTAACACACAACAATAAAAAACCACGAGTCGTAATTCCATCTCGTCGCCACGTTGCGCGTGGGGTTGGCTGTGTGCGCTCACGCGGTGCGCTCCCGTGCCGCCCCCGCAGGTGCCTCATGACCTGCGGCAGCACCAAGCTTCCGTTCCACCCCAACGGCGTCACCCGCTCCAGGTCGTTGCAGCTCACGAGGTCGCCAGGTGAGGCCGTGCGGGTCGCTGCCGCTTGGCGACATGCCGCTTGGTTTGTTTTCAACTTGCTGTGGTTGGATTCCCGCGTCTAATTGATGTGCTCTGCAAAGGGAATTTGTTGTTCCGTCGGTTGACCTATGCTTAAGTCCTCAAGAGATGTATCGGACCGAGTAAGTGATGAAGGTGATTACTTTATGCAGTCAGGGAACCAGAATGTGACCGTAAACACGATACACTTGACATCCTGTTTTAATCACAAATTGCTGTCAAATGAAGTCAAACCCAGAATTTTAATGGCTTCAGCTCCATGTCCCTGACAACATGATGCATCATGGGATCCCCAAGTCACCTGACCAGCTCCACTGTCTTACTGTAAACAAAAAGTTGTTAATTTATTTATGTTTATTTATGTTTATTTATTTATGTAGTTGTTGACTTTAACCTCTTCAGACTTACATTCACCGTGCACCGACGTGGGGGGCCTGCATCCTACAGGCATCGTCAAGCAGCCGCGTGCTTTAGTTACCGGAGATGTGCGAGCATCGCCGCTAACACCAGCCTTGTCCTGTCTCGCAGTGCTCAATGACCTGTACATCGTGGAGCCGCTGCAGTTTCTTCAGGACCATAAAAAGGTAAGGTGGCACCCTGCATTGCTTTTCATGTCCACACAAGGCAGTCCACCTAAATATAAAAAAAACAATGCGCTTAATTTGTACCTACCTAATCAGAGGTTTGCAAGCTAATGGGGGGGAGTTTGGCCAATTATCTTTTCTTGACTGCTCCTATGCACGAGTAGAAATTCCACCTCCGATTAGCACGGTTGGTTACGTACGGTGTGAAAGAAGGACCACATACATACGTACATACATGTGGAAAAGTCGTTTCATAGGACAACCACTGCTGACTTTTCACAAGTTGGAAGCTAGTTTTATTGATTCCAGAGGGAAGTTGGGCTAAGTCAATCCCCAGCTAGGGTTTGAACAGCTTTAACGTTGCTGGTACGTAACAAATGTCAGCCACTATTGTCTTCCCAGAAAGTGGCACTACTTTATATGGCTTTGAAAGAACAATGTGTAAAGTTGATCCCTGACTGAGATTTGAACTTTTGTAAACCTTCGGATTGTAATTCACATTTCCTAACCCAACGCTTCACTTGGCCATACACGCTTGTACATCAGTTGTATGTATCATTCACTTCTTTCGCACCATATGTAGCCAACCGTGCTAATCGGAGGTGCGGGGGAAGGACAACACACTAAACACAAAAAGCAGTTACCGTAAGCATATAAAAATGTACAACTTATTTGTACGATTCAACTCGCCGCGCCTCTATTTGTGTGTTGCATTTATTAATTGTCACACAACGTGCAGTATCTAGCCTCGAGCACTGATTGATTTTTTTATTCACAAATATTGCTTTTTATGTTGTCTCCCCCCTTGCAGAGGAAAAGAGCCAAGCCATGCAAAACGGAAAAGTCGGACGCGCCCAGCGTCGATCCCGAAGACCGGGCATTATTGGACAAGGGCAGCCACCACAAGCTGAACGGTGCACTCGTGCCTAACGGTGTGTCGAACGCCAGCATGTCGGGTGCCGGTGAGTCGAGCGCAGGCGTTCTCTTCAGCAGCTCTGGCGGGCGTCCCCCGTCGCTCGCGGGGCACGAACCGCGACTGTCGCAACCGCCGGGCTCCGCGTGCGGCGGCTCCTCCTCCTGCACCTCCTCTTCCTCCTCCGCCTCCTCTACCGCCTGCGCGCAGACGGTGAAGCTAGCGGTGAACGGGCGTCCTCGCGGCGGCGAGGAGCGGGGAGTGCCCAGGAGGAAGCGATCGCGGGCGTGCTGCGCCGCGGGCAGCGGTGGTGGTGCGAGGGAGCACGGCGTGCTCGTCAGCAGCCTGCTGCGTCGCCGCTCAGGCTCTTTACCGAGCCTGCGCGCCAGCGGTGACGGCGTGCGGAAGCCGCCTCCGAGAAAGTTCCCCGTGGAGACGGTGGGCGTCGTGACGGTACCCATGCGCTCGTGACCGCATGACCGCGGAGGAGGATGGGCGAAGGGGGGGCAAGCAGGGCAGGGTGCTGGAAGCATTCAAAAGCGAAAGGAATGTTTTTCGAAATGAACCAATGAAGCCAATGCGTTGCGCTGATGGTTTTCTGGGTGCGGGCGGATGGCGTTGGCGCTGGGGACGCAGCGGGCAACGTTGTTAAGTGCCGCAGTGTTGCAGGATCCTAAGTTCATGGAGTCATTTACCGTGGCGTCCCGTTACCAAAACAAAAGAACAATGGTCTAACCCTACAAATGAGCTGAAATAGGTTTTGCTGTGCTGTTGCGAGCACACCAATATTATTAACGCTACGAGACTCGACACTTATTCAGCTCGCCCTCACATGTCTTCTTGGAAGTGACTGAAACAGTGAAGAATGGGAAGCTGTGCCCACCTCCATACATTTACGACGAGTTGGGGGTTGACTGAAATTTACAATGCAGACCACGCATGATGGGGCACTACGGTAACAACAATTGCATCAGCGAGACTCTGTCTTTGATGGTCTTCGTCGTGTGGTGGAGGCGACACTGTGACACTCGGGGAAGTATTTGCCAAGAATAATACTGATCTATGCTAAGCTCCAATTTCAATGAAGGTTCTTGAAGCATAGAGCTCTACCGGAAGATTTCACAACACTCAAGCTTGTTTGCCTTGCAACCTTTCAATCGAAGAGAGAGGCTTTCAGCCCAACTACTCATTGTGACTGATCCTAAATGAGGCAGGAGCCAACAAGTATTTAATTGTACTCTTATTTCAGCCACGCAGCCTTGAGTGCTGTAAATCTGGCTTTCATGGTACAGAGTGGACTGCATCGAGTGTGTAGTTTGGGTTGCTGAGCCATGCCTACCAGTTGTGAAGCGTCCAGAGACAGCAGCCCTGCACTGTCATTCGTAAGCACGAGCAAACTCGCCTTCTCTAGGCAACTGAAGAGGTCTATAAAGTCGTGCAGTGCCATCCAATACTTTATCCCCAGGGTGACACGTACCGTATTTTTACGCAGGAATGTAATCCCAATGGACAGTGCTCGACGTTGATGTTCGACGTTGTACTGCATCGCCGCTGTTTACAGTCGCGTCACTGCGCCGCGGATGCTCCGACACCGGACCTCTGACGCGCAGGGAAAGGGGCGACGTTTGTGACCGGAAGCTCGTGCAGATCTTCAACTGTGAACCACGTTGGGGGTCCGTCTCCTTTCACGACGACCTTTGCACCCCCCCCCCCCCATCGCGCCTCTCACTCGTGATGCTTGAATGGAGCCCTCGCCAGGCCCACCCCAATGTGTGGCACCACCGCGGACATGGAAAGGGAAGGTGTTGCGCATCCTTCGTGAAGAATGTCATAAGGCCCGGCACCAAAACGCGTTTCTCACGAACTCTTAACCTGATTGCTCCTGCCACAGTTGAAAGTGCTTTTCTCCACTGTCTTTTTGCATTCGTTAGTCTAGGCTTCCTGCGCTGAGCCATGGACTGTTCATCAACAAGACTGTTTGGACGCACGGCTGTGAGCCGAGTTGGTTACATTGAACTTTTGTTAGTGGCGGTAGGGCAAAGTGTCAGTACTGTACTGATTTTTGTTCATATACAGTCTCTCTCATGGACTTTTTTTACGAAGCTGCACCAACTCGAAACGCCGTGGGTCATTGAGGAAGGTGATGACAGCGGTGATATTTAGGCTCGTATGTTCTTAGTCGGGGTGGTGATATTTTACTTGGGAGGATTTTCGACCGATGGACGTGATACCCCCATCTCCGCGAGTTGTGCAACACCCCCCACCACCCCCCTCCACCCCCCCCAAGGCTGCATCAGTTTCACTTGTAGAGGTCTATACAAGGGTACGAATGTGGAATCCGATGATGGCATACAATAGTAATAAGCGTAACTGTCCATCGCAGATAGGGAACAATACTACCGTTGCCTTTTGAGCAGTGTTTTGTCAAACAGGCTTTAGAAATGTGACTTATTGCTGCCCGTCAAGAGATCCGTACACGCAACACACTTTTATATACTTGGGTGGGTTTTTTTTTTACTTACATGAGGGGCATACGATACTTAGTTTCTGATGCAAAGTGCAATCGAGCGAAGCGGGGATTAAAAGGATAACACATTATCTGCAACCGAGTTGCTGTAAGGCATAGGTTTGAGAAATTAAGGCTTTATTACAGTGTTTTAATTTAGCGTGTGCATGTGTGTGTGTGTGCACGGACGATAGCGTACTTCAGTTGTTGAGCCGGCCATCTGGTTTTATTTTCGTGAAGTTACATTTGTGAAAGAATGCTTAAGAAATGTCTGCTTGACTTTTTATCTTTCCTCTTATTTTCTCTTCACTAAAATTCTGTGTTGTACTCTTCACCGCTGAAGTGAGAGGCAATCGTCGGTGAAAAGGAGGTTGTGGGGGAACCACGTGGAGAGAGAGAGAGCAAGTTAAGTGTCCGGGTGGGGGTTAGGGTTGAGGATAGAGTTTGGGATAAAGCTGAGATCAGGATATGATTGGCCAGTTTGGGTCACCCCTGTAACTCGTGCCAAACATGGGCTTTTTACATTGCATCTCCCTTTCGCATTTGGTATTGACAGTGCCCATTCTCTGCGTTATTGTTTTACGTCCGTAAACAAATGGGATTGCATGGGCGTAGAGCATGGGAGTCACAGACGTAACGAGGGACAGGGTGACATCCTCTTGTGCTACAGCTCGAACGGCACAAACCCCCTGCAACTCGGCATCGTCCTCTATTTCTTCTCCCGGGTAAGAATCTGAAGCGGTAATTATTGTCGATACTAATGTCACTCTCGCAAAAAAGCCAAATTTCGAGGGACTGTTGTAATGAGCTGTTGTGTGATGTTTCAGACGTGTAACTGAAGCACTTACTCCAATCTAGTCTCGTGAAGAGGGAGCAACACTTTCAGCATTTTAAACACTCAAGAGCTGGAAACAAACCCAACCCATTGAACAGAGCAATTGATGAAAGGGGTTTAAATGGATAGATTAAGGCCGTGTTAAATTGCCTGACGTCTAAACAGCATTGGCTTTGTCTGGAGCGTCAATTTTCATGCTTGTTGAGTTTCTCGGTTGTACACTTTAGGTCCGCACGACGCAGTGTACATAATGCAGCAAACACACACACACTTGGGTTCTTATTTATGTATTTATTGTTTAATGCAAACTCTCCGCGGACAACTAGTTGGTTCAGCCAGTACTGCTATGACCCAAAAAAGGCACCCAGATAGGTTTTAATTAAACCGGGTGGACAAAGCCCTTTTAAATGCTCCTTCTCGCCCATCAAGAATGGTGAAAGCCATCTTTGGAACAAACTGGAATGTGATTGCAGTAATTTAATGCAACCCAATCTGCTTTTGTGTGTCCAATGCAACTGGAAACTCCAAAGTGAAAGTCGTTGCTCCTCTGAACTGTAACTACAAACCTCCACCACTCCTCAGTCCTGTAAGAAGTGCATGCAGTCTTTTTTGTAGGAGACTAACACAATGAATAATGTTATTTTATTTATCCTTAAATGCAACATTCGTCCCATTTCATACTTACCTTGTTCCTTATCAGTTATATTTTCCAACCAGTTTTGTAACGTGGTGTCGTTCTATTTAATTCATACTCACTTCTGGTAACACCTCTCTCCTGGAACCAGCACTACAGAGCCACGTGTCACCGTGTCTCATGTACATTCAACACAAATCTCTCCCACTTTTGGTTAGGGGGTGTGTTAATTTATTTTTTTACGGTGGACATTTCACGTTTACGTTTGTAACTTCGTTGTAGGAGTTGTTGGTGTGACCCATTGGGAAAAATAAAACAATCGAGCCATCTGTGTTGCGTGGCTTCACCTCTTGGCATTCTCTTTAAGATTCTGCGCAGAGGAAAAAATGGCCATTGCACTTGAAACTGCCTGGTGTGCGCACGTGGATTTGTAGTCCGGAAGAGAATTTATGTAGGCCTTCTGTGGTTTCTCGACCTGGAAGTTTTGACCGCCCGTGTCACGTACGTTTGTGCGTTTTGCACTTGCATCCCTCCCTTGAAATCCAAGCGTTTGTCTTGCAGCGAAGTGTCAGCAAGTTCATCACGAAGCTGTAATCTGTGGCAAGGCACAGGTGCATTACATTACTGTCGGCGCCTGACGCTACCTCAAATGAAACAACCGTGGACTGAATGTATTTTACTTAACGCGCACACAATTGGACACATTTGCTCGACGAGGATTTTATTTTTTAAATGTCGAGAGATCCTGGACCGCAACACAAATGTGCCATTGTTTTAGGAGATACTGTGAATTGTTCCCCGCGTGATGATACCTTCTGGTGTGATGTACACGACTTCCCTTATTTTAAAGAAAAAATGTTCACGTGTTTCTGGTCAATTTGTGAGTGGGAAGCGATGATTAAATAAACACAAGTTTTAATCAGCGCGCCTGCTCTTCCTGTTATTGTGGGTTGATGGTTTCGAGGGATGCCCTCATCACAATCCCAACATGTTGATTTTCATGTTGTGGAATGTGAACCCCCTTTTTGGGATGTATCCCCAATACGAAAAATAAATAAGTATAACCCGTAAAAACAAAGTTTTTCACTATAAATCCTTTATATGCGTGGCGGCTAAAGTCCTCTCGTCCTCTGGCTTGAGATGGCTGCCACCTATGGGTCAGATGATTGTCTGCCAGTATTAAGCAATTGGTAATTAAATATTTAATTTGTTTTCCCTAAAGTTTTAAAAAAAATGTCACGAACATTAATTGTCTCGCACGAGTCTGTGTGCAAAATGTCAGCTCGATTGGATCACGGGCAGTGGGTTAAAAAACGACCGAAAGATTTGCACGGTCGCAAGCAAGCAAGCACGCAAGCAAGCAAGCGAACTTAATATAAAGGATTTAAAAAATCGGACCTCGATCTGAAATTTTGGATGATCTGAAATTTTGTTTGTTTTGGTTGGTCCGAAAACATGACATCACTTCTGTAATTTTTCCGCCAAATGTGGTACCATGTGACACGTCACTTTTGTTTGCATACATACATTTGTAGGCAATCTTAATAATTCCAAAGCCCGAAAACAATCTGATTGTCAAATATAATAAAAAAAGATTCTGTGCTACTTATCTCGAGAGTGTAAAATGTATTTAGTGTTAATAGAAATGAACTGCAACTTTAATGAATTGTTTAAAAAAAAATATTCATTTCAATGTCACTTTTGTCACAATAAACTTTAGAATGTGCCGTTACACAGCCATTGTCAGTGTTTAGTGACGAAATAAGCCACGTATGAGGTCATAGTGCGAAAGTCCCAAAGCCGGGTCCATGAACCCACGTGCTGTTCTGCCATTTGGCGGTGGGTTTGGTCATTTCATAAATCTGTGATCCATCAACCTTTATAGTTTCTCCTTTCTCTCCAAAGTGTGTGCGATATGTGGACGTATGCACATTTAAAATATCTCAACATCTAAATGTTATGACATAGGAAGCGTCTTTATCAAAGAAATTTGAAGTTTCGTAATCAAATTAATTCAAGACGGTGCATTTCAAAATTAACTTGATCCTCTTAAGTTTGCATTATACTTTTTTTACACGCACCATATATGAATGTATTATTATGAATCCACCGATACTCGATATACGAAACTATTTCTAACCAGCAGGGGACACTGTTAGACCGTTTCTTTGCCCAGCCTGGATTGGCTTCACAGCACGAGATAACGAAAACTGGCACGGGCACAGCCAATTCAGTTTCATTTATTAGATACTAGCTTTACTACCCAGCTTCGCCCGGGACTTGGATCCACCACGCCCGGCCGCCTTTGTCTCCCCAGTGGCAATGTTCACACACCACAGCAGTTTCTCGTTTGAGGCCGAGTTGACCTAGGGGAGACCCAGGAGCGGTTGAAATAATCGTCACCGGTCGTGGCCGTGAGCGGGAATCGAACTCGGTGGCCGGGTTCGTAGCGCGGCGCACTAACCACTCCACTACAATGCGTCACGCTTCTACATGCGCAAGTCACATGACAGATGTGACGTCACAGATCACTTGACGTGCAAAAAATATATGCATTATTGAGCCCCCCCCCCCCCCCAAAAAATATATAAAGTGTATTTTTTTTGCATGGTGTACAGTCTGGAAAGTACCCACATGGCAAATTTCAAGTTTGTTGCATGTCGGGAAGTACGCTAAACATTTGAACAGACACATAATCACAACTTTTCCTTTTATATATATGGAGATAACCCTGTGAGCCATGCGGCTCTTGACTCGGGTGCAACCGCAACAAAATAAAAACAAGAAACATCTTAAAGTGACCATGCATGGCTCACAGGGTTATACCAAGCAAATGAAACTCCACCATTCCACTTCGTGAAAGAAGCCGGGTGTGGTGGCTCACACCTCTACTGCAGCTATGTGGAAGCAAGTGGTTCGTCGATCACAGATTTGCGAAACAGCCAAACTTTCCGGGCTGTAAAAGGCAGCACAGCAAGCGGGTTCTCGTGCTGCAGCTGTCTCTCAGTCCGCGTGACTTTGCGAGAGTCGCGGCGGCATCGTGTGGAGTCGTGGCCGTCCACAGCTCTCCCTGGCGACAGACTCTAGCACTACTACACTCTACACTACACTATACACTACACTACTACACTATACACTACTATACACTACTACACTATACACTACTATACACTACTACACTATACACTACTACACTATACACTACACACTATACAGTCCAGAGGTGGGACAAAGTCATTGTTATGCAAGTCCAAGTCGAGTCTGAAGTCATCAAATTCATGACTCGAGTCTGACTCGAGTCCAAGTCACATGACTCGAGTCCACACCTCAGAGGTGGGACAAAGTCATTGTTATGCAAGTCCAAGTCGAGTCTGAAGTCATCAAATTCATGACTCGAGTCTGACTCGAGTCCAAGTCACATCACTCGAGTCCACACCTCTGCTATACACTACTATACATTATACACTACTATACACTACACTATACACTACACTATACACTACTATACACTACTACATTATACACTACTACACTATACACTACTACACTATACACTACACTATACACTACTACACTATACACTACACTATACACTACTATACACTATACACTACTATACACTACACTATACACTCCACTAATATACACTATACACAACTAAACTGCACCACTAATATACACTATACACAACTAAACTGCACCACTAATATACACTATATACTACTATAAACTGCACCACTAATATACACTATATACTACTATAAACTACACCACTAATATACACTATACACTACTATTAACTATAAACTACACTATACACTACTATATACTATAAACTACACTATACACTACTATAACCTTTATAAACTACACTATACACTACTATACACCTTTATAAACTACACTATACACTACTATACACATACTCTAGCTTTTCCTGGGGAATTCCCAGGCCAGCCGAGCGACATCGCCCCGCCAGCAGCAGCGTGTCCTGGCCCGACCCCTAGGGTCTGAGTGTGAGAATACAAATGGAAGGTTATTTTAGGCAAAAACATTTTTTAAATGACCTGCAAAGCCGATGGCAGTGCAACGAATAGACTGCGGATCCAAGTACTTCCACTGGATCCCAATCCAATCCCGGATCAGTTTCAAGGCCTCGCTCACCATCTTCACCTACCCCCCTTGTCCACACCTCCTCTCTTTCCTCTCATCATAAACTCTTCTCTCCACGCACTCTCATACCTCCCCCCTCTCTGGACATCTGTGAAAAAGAGCTTCATAGCTCATCGGATTCCTGCTGTATAAATAAATGCGATTCTGATTCTCGTCTCCCATCTAAATCTCCGCTCCAGCATCCAAGGCTTGTTTTCAGTGGAAGCACCCACCCCAGTAAAACGTTCGCTCAGCTGATGGGCGTTCTCTCATTCTCCTCCTCTTGCTGCTCGCCTTGTCTGGAACTCCCATCTGTCCGTGCTGTTTATTCCCTGCCTCTTCCTCCAAAATAAACGTTTCCACTTTCTCTGCACGGCATCTTGGGATGCGGTCTCAGATGCTCAATCAAAGGTGTCTCGCGCTGTATTTGTGTTGCGTTTTCTGCGTAATCCTCCCGTACGTTTTCTCTTTTTCCACCTTGTACCACAGGTTCCGTCTATACGCAAGCATCCCATCGCTTCTCATAGCCTTGAGTCGGCCCTCAATGCTGCTCGGACGCAGGAGAACTTGTGACATCTGAACCCTTTTCTCTCAGGCATACACCCAGGACCGGATATTTCACTTGCATGAACCGCTGGAGGTGCTAACCTTCGATTATCACGGTTGGCTACGTACGGTGCGAAAGAAGTTCTACATGCATACAACTGATGCAACTAGCATGTATGGCCGATAACAGTAAACAATTCCACGAAGCGCGAATGTCGATGGCTCACCCACGTGATTCATATTCATTGTTCAGAAACAGAGGCCGACCATAAATGACGTCACGCGATTTTTGACCCCCCCCCCTCGTCACACGACGTCACAAAAGTCAGACCACCCCCTCAAATATGACGTCACAAGCTCTGCCCCCCCCCCCCCCCCACAAAAAAAAATCGCTTTAAACTATTGTCATTGTAGTTTGTATTTAATGTGGCGCTGCACTCTGATGTTGTAGGAGAAAACATTTATTAAAAAGTATATTTAATTAAGTAGAACGTGTTGTCTATATTTATTTAAAGTTGCGCATTTTGATGTGACGTCACATTTCTCAACCCCCCCCCCTCTCGTCACACATAGTCACAAATGTCTAACTCCCCCCCCCCCCTAGGTGCGTGACGTCATTTATGGACGGCCCCAAAGCTATCCCACTCAACGACAGAGCTTGATGAAACGGGCGTGAACACGGGCTCGAGAAAAGTGACGTGCTGATGTTGGTCCAGGAGGATGTGGCACTGAGTGGACTTTCCGATGACTGGCACCAATTTGTATCAAGATCAGCCTCTGTGTAGGAGGCTGATGAAGGATGCTATTTGGGCAGTTTGGAGGCAGTCGCACTCCAACATCGCCCGTGATGCTCATGCGGATGAGTGACTCGTGGGTGGTGGGTTGGGAGCGCACATGGAACACATAGGTCTCCTAAGCACGACCTTAAACACAATCGGGTTACCCCTCCATCCACTGTGCCTGATAAGACGTAAACGAAAATCAATGTTTCTTGATGATCCTGCGTCAATTGACTCCACCACAGTCAACTCGCTCACCGCCGGCCAACCACCTCGTTATCGCTCTTCTGACGCTGCTGCAATGTTGACCGTGAACTTTACTCATCGATTCCTCAACGTTGAGGACGCTTGTATTAGCAGACTGTTTCGTCTCGTCCATGTTGCGTTCATCAACCAACACGCTGCAGGTCACGAGCGAGGATCCATATCTTCACACACACACACACGGGTAATGGTGCTCTGCTGGTAGCGTGTGGTCCAATCACGTGAGAGTAATGGCAATATCCACGTGTTCGACGTCGTCCGTGGGCCTGGTGATATTCACGCCGTGGCTCTGGCTGTGGTCTTGCTGGTAGTCCTGGTGGTGGTTCTCACCCTGGTGGTTATAGCGGTGGACCTAATGGTTATAGTGGTAGGCCTGGTGGTGTTAGTTCTGGTGGTAGGTGGTCCTAGTGGCAGTCCTAGTGGTGGTAGTTCTGGTGGTAGGTGGTCCTAGTGGCAGTCCTAGTGGTGGTAGTTCTGGTGGTAGGTGGTCCTAGTGGTAGGCCTGGTTTGTGGTGGTTCTAGTGTTGGTGGTAGTTCTGGTGGTGGTAGTTCTGGTGGTGGTGGTGGTTCTGGCAAGGCGCGGGGTTTTTCTCCGCCTCGTTACCAGCCGGCGTCTCGGCCGGAATCGAACCAGAAGCTGGCGACGAGTCGGATGGATTCCTTCCTCGCGTTGTCATCCTCTCCTGATGCTTCGTCGAGATTCTATTGCAGCGGCCAAAACCAATCTGAATCTCAAATGAGTAATCGATCCAGGCAGGCGACATCGACCACTTTAGCGGAACCCAGATACGTCTTGATTTGAAGCTTTCGTGACTACAGGAATCCCATACTCGCTGGCTCTTTCGGTAAAGTCACGTAGGTAGAAAAAATAATAAAAGAAACACGACGTTTCGGTCGCAACACAAGCGTCCGTCTTTAGGTGAGAAATACATCGTCGGCTCTTCCTCTTCGGTTCATTATTTGAAGTAACAACGGTAGTTTTTATTGTTTA